TTTTTTTTTTCATTATTCCATTTTTTTTTTTTCTCTTGTTAATAATGAACTGAACGGGTATAAAATCCAGTTTTTTAACTTATTTTTTAAGCTGGCTTGTATTGTAAATAGAATCCAGATTCAAGGTGTTTAGTTAGGAAATACTCTACCAGCCTCATGAAATGATGTCCTCGCTGTCCTGTGTTGCTGTGGAAAACCTGGGATGTCAGGCTGGCCCTGGACCTGTGCTGAAAGGTGAATGATCCCTTCTTGTGTTGGCTGCTGCCACGAAGAGCCCCAGCTGTGCTCCGGGTGGTCACTCACAGGCTTTCAGATTGGTAGGAATGGGGCAGCAGCTGAAAGCCTTCCTCTTTCCTCCTTCCTTCCCTGGTGTCACACTTGCCGCTCTGCTCCCTGCGTGCGTGGTGGTGGCCTTGGGTGGGAGCTCTGACCTCCAGCACTGGGAGCAGGGGGAAGTGAGTGCTCACCTCCTGGTTCTGCCCTCTCTCTGATGTTGGGCTCTATGCCATCTCTCAGATTTACCTTCGGGAACTGCTTTGGGTGCCTCCTGCTTGTGGCTTTGGGGGGATGGAGTCATTCACTGCAGCATCCCATGGTTTCCCAAATCAGGCAGCTGGGAGCTGGCCCTGTGCAGAGGAATGTCCCTTCTGGAAGAAGCTTTGGCACTGGAGCGGGGCTCCATCATGGGGATGGGGCTGTGTGAAGCTGTGGGGCAGCTCAGGCTTCGGGCTGCATTTTCAGGTGCTGACAGCCAAGCTGGGAGAGCCTTCTCCTTACAGACTGCAAACAAACAGTGCTCTCAGCCAGAGGCAGGCGCCAGCAGGTAAGTCTGGGCTGTCTTCCCTCCCCTTTCTGTATGGGGGTAACTGAGTGCAGCAGTGCCAGTGCCCTTCCCTGGAGGTAATGGGTGTAGGTGCACAGGGCGCAGTGAACATGAGCTGCTGCACAGATGCTCTGCTGAGACACAGCACTCATCCTGCACCATGCAGAGCCTGCAGGGACCGAGCAGCCTGCAGGGACTGAGCAGCCTGCTGGGCCAGAAAGCAGTGCTGCAAGCAGATATTGCTGTGAATGCAGTGGAGGGGAGGAAGGATTCTGCAGCCGACAGGACCTGCCCTAAAAGAGTGAACTGCTGTGGGTCCCTGGAGCAGCACAGTGAGTGACACACAGGTCCTTACAATGCTCGTCACACAGTTCTTGTCTCAGCTGTTTTTCTAATAGCCTGTCCTCTCCTCAAGCCCCATGGAGAAAAAGCTGATGTACTCCATGGCATAGCTGACAGAAACAAATCGATCACAACGCTCGTTGGTTACTGGTGTTTCTTCCAAGGAGACGTATATTTTTAATAAACAGAGAGTTGCAAAGAACTCTGCCTTTGAGCCCTTCTTGTGGAGCCTTTCCTTGTGTGCCAGCTCTGCTTTCTGAGCTCACCTCAGCAATTACTGACAGTAAGCAGAAGAGCTGTAATGCGGTCACTGAGAGCAGCCTGCCAGAGAAAAGAAGAAAGGAAGCAGCCTTCCTCAGGTGCAGCCCTGATGAGGTCACAGGAAAGCTCTCGTGTTGTTGCCACACCGCTTGATGTGGGTTGGATGACACCATCAATGTCTTCTGGGTCACGGGTTGAGTTGTATGGGGCTGGTTCTACAAATAGGGTTTATGTGCTGCTGTGTAATGGCTTCTGTGCTGGATGTAAAGGCAGCAAAGTGTGCATGTCTATATATATACACATGTGCGTGTGTATATATATAGTCCCCCCCTTTTTCAGCCTAAGGTGTTATTTATACATCAGATGACAAAAAGTTGTAAAGACAACTTTCCTTCTGATGGTATTTTTAAATACAGGGAGCAAGAGCGTTTGTTGGCAGACAAGTGTGATTAATGGGCATGTTGTTAGCATTCCTGGCTGAATCTGCTGTGTCACCGAGCTCAGCTATCTCAAAGGTGAGAGGGCTTTTGTTTTTTAGAATCTTGAAGGGTCTTCTTTCTGTTCAAAGTGCACACTTCTATCTCTGCAGCTGTGGTTCATTAACCCTGCAGTCCTCGCTAAGCACAGGAGTGCTTAAGTGTGATGCGATGGGAGATAATCATACCTTTCTCCAAAGGTTTTTTTCCCCCATTGATGCCTGATGTGCAGGCAGCTGAATGGCTGCATGCCTTACAGACACCTCTTCGTGCTCCCAGTGCCTGGCAGGATCAGGGATTACTTCTCTCTGCCTTCCTCAGCAGAACTCGGGCACCTTCTGCAAAGGAGGTGAAGTCACATTGAAGCGGTCTCACTCCATGAAGCACCCTTAGAGACTCCCTGTTCTTCAATGTCTCCTATCCCTTCCCTCCCAAATGAAGGGCACAGTGTTTGACTTGGATTTTTAACACTAATTAGAACCATGGAGCTGTTTGGGTCGGTCTGTGCAGCAGCTGCTAATGGTGGAAGCACGCAGAGGATGATGATGATGGAGTGACTCACAGTATGGGGTCGAGACCACACTGGGCTGACCATGGTATTTCCTCCCTATTCTTAGTTCCAGTGCTGCTACTTGACAAAAGCTTCTGCCCAATCCTCTAATGAGCTCCAGTCCTCTTCCAATTAACTTGATTTCTGTTTACTGTAATCACTTCAACTCTCCTGGGCTTGACCCGAGTGCTGGTGGCCAACCCAGCTTCTCTTCTCCCTCTCCAGAACACTGCAGCCTTTGCACTGACAAATGCTCAATCCCTATGGTGGGAGGTATCCCAGCACATCCCCTGTAGGATGTTTCAAGACTGCATTTTCCATGCTAGTCCAGACTGCTGCTGCTCTCCAAACAGTTAAGAAGTTGTCAGATAAGTAAGAAAAAAAAGGGCATAAGTACTGGCTTGAGGCAGAGGGATTTGTGAAGTGCTGCCCTGGAGGACACATCTGTGTTCTCAAAGGCTGGGAGGAACACTGCACTTGCAGAGCACACCCTGTAGCTTCCACAGTGATGTGCAAAGCAGAACCCATCGCTGCAATGCCACCTTCTGGAGCAATCTGCTCACACCTCAGGACAAGCACCCACATCCTCCAAGCAGAAACCAAGCTGTGGCACAAAGTTGATCGATAAAAGGAGAAGATGTGAGGAGCAAACAGCACTGAGTTTATTTTTCTTTCTATCCCCCAGTCATTCTAGAAGGACTAATGGGACTACAGTGCAACACTCAGCCTAGTAAAACACCCACTGCACAGACAAGCCTGCGTCTACACCAGCAAACTCAGCCTGCAAAGAAGGGTGTCTGCACACAAACTACCTATTGGGAATGGTCATGGAGAATCCAGCTCATCAAGGTCTGATTCAACCTAGAGAGGAACTCTTGCTCTATTTAAAAGCTATGCTAAATATGAAGCCTGTAATAAAATGCACAATGCAAAACAAGAGCAGCAAAGAGGTAAGAAGTACTGTTACTAGCAAGTCCATTCTGCTAAAGTCTGTAGCATGAGAGAAAACAAACTGAGCTGTTAAAAAAAAAAATAATCAAACAATTCTGGCTGTAGGTATAACACATTAAATGCTTGCTATCTTCCAATGGCTGTATGTAATTACCTACCCTACTTACTGGGCAGACATGACCTCCTCACCTGTCTGTGCAAGTCAGAACTGAGGGCCATCATTAGAGGCGGGCTGGCAGGCACTGCAAAGATGCACCAGCAGCAAGGAGTACCTGAACTGTATGGCATCCATGGTGCCCACGTTAACGGGATGCAGCATACGTCTCCAACACCGTGACTCCAGCAGAATTCAGTGTGACTGTCGAGGCCTGGCTTTTTTAGGGGTTCAGAGGTCTTTCTCTGACCTCTGGTAGCACATTGTGCATTAAAGAGCTGAAAACAGCTGCTTGCAGAAATCTCAAGCAGCAAAACACTTCTAGCTCTCTAGTAAGCAAACATGAGGACCCAGAAAGACAGTAGGTGCAGTGTCCCTCAGATCTTCAATTTCCTCTTACAGAAACAGCAGAAGAATCCACGTATACCACACATGCCCAGTTACAGATCACATAAATGTATGCATAGCTTATCACATGAAAGACAGAATCTTCCATATTTACTTAGTTGGGCCTTATGGCTTCTTACTTCCCAAACTGAAAAACAATCAGTGTACATGTGCTAGCTATGACAGCTACCCACCTCACCTTCTAAATAGGCACTGATACCCTGAACCTGTGGTTTTTGTTCAAGCACCCTATCAGCTTTTTTAGTGGCTTTGTGTTAGTTTGTTTGTTTTTTTTAACTCCTATAATAAATACATTTAGCTGCTGCTACAACCCACAGAACTTAGCGCTCCAAAGCCTTTATTTCTCCCATCCCAGTCAGTGTTATCTTCTTCCAAAGGACTGGGCACATCAGAAGATGCACACACTCTGACCTTGTGCTCATATGCACTCACAGTGCAGCCAAGATTTATGCCCTGGAGGGGGACACCAAGATATATCATGGAGTGCACTACTGAAAATAACACTCAGACCATTTATGTTCTGATTTCTGAAGCTGCCGATTAAACAGCAGTGGTTGCACAGAACTAAGATCTCTTAACCTCACTCCATCATCCCTTATCCAGGCTGAATTTCAGATGGGATATATCACTTCAGGTGATCCAGCTGTAGTTGGATCCATCCATTTACCAGCCTATGTTTTTATGTGGATTTGGGGGCACTTCATGTTGAGCTCTGACTGTTGCAGCTAGCAGTCTATAAAAAAAGCAGTATGTAGTAAAAGCTGTGGCTTTTTTCTGTGAGCTGGATAGCACCTGCTCTTTTCTATTCTAAACTGTGATCCTGGCAAACAGCTCTGAATTCTTGTCCCTAGTGAGATGGACTGAGAACGAAACCATCTGATAAATATTTATGCAGCATGGCAGCTATGGCATCCCAAGGAGATGCCTGGTATTGGAATACTTTTATCTTTCACAGTGCCACTTACTACTAAAATTAGGCATTTCAATTAGCCTGTGACACAACAGCAGAACCATCTCAAGAGAAACTTACGTATTTATTTCTGCTACATTGCTCCACAGAATGAAACTCTCCTAGAGGGAAACAATAACATGAATTCAATAAACACATAACTTAATAGCCAACAAGAGGGGGATTCTGGTTTCCTTTCCACTGCTCCTGTGCCCCTGCAGAGCTAACAGCCTCTTTCCTTCAGCAGGATGTTTCCAACTGCTGTCCTCCTTTTCTGCAGTTGTGGCTATCATTCTTCATTTGGAAGACACTCTTTCACTCTGTCCAATTTGTCCAGAACCTCACTGTAAAGACCGATCATCTGGAGAATATAAGCACGATGGTTTCAGTCAACAAGGATGTATAAAGGAGTATCATTCAATAGGTAATACAAAGTAGTGGCAGAGAACAGGAGTAGGGAAGTAGGTGGGAGACTAAAGCCAGCTTTTAAATGTAGAATCTTGGATTGAAGCAAATATTTTGGCACAGATTGAAACACTGGGCTTTAGCTTAAATCAGTGGCACCTCACAAAGGTCGATTTATTTATACTGACATAAAGCACAGCTTATAGCTGAGTCTTATATCAATTAATAAACCTGTTCTTATTTTATTAACTGATGTGCTTAAAATAACACAAAGGTTGCAACCAGCTCCTGATTGACTGTCTCATACATGAGAGAATAAACCATGACTACACACAGCAGCCAGGCTGTACTGTGCTGCAATCAACATAGGAGCACCAGCCAAAACACTGCAGAGAGCAGCTTACATATGACAAATCAAGAAGAAGCATTGCTGCTTTCTGCAGAGGCACTAGCTGTGAAATTTCACCCTCACAGACTAAAGAACAAGCTTGAAAATATTCATGCAACAGGTGATTTAAGTAAACTGGTACAGCATCCTTCCCTTAGCGAAATCAGGCAAAGTACAAAGAATTTTCCATGGTCACAAATAGTCTCACATCTAGCTGTGCTGTCCTGTCAGTAAAAAGACTCTGCATTACTCCTCCTAGTGTGCATCAAATCTATTCTGACCTCACTTGGAAAAAATCAAGTTTGGTTCCCCCAAAATATGCAAGGCCAGATTGGATGGAGATGGTTTAGTATTAGATATGGAGGTTGGTGGCCCTGCATGCAGGAGGGGGAGTTGGAGCTTCATGATCCTTGAGGTCCCTTCCAACCAAAGCCATTCTGTGATTCTATGCAGGTGCCACGCTGCTGCTGAAAGCCTTTAAACCACGGGTAGTGGTTTCTTCATTCAGATCCATACCTTCAGAACAAAATTTCATTACTTCCCCTCCACAACTGACTTCTACCACATTCAGCCCAGACATCCACTTCCATTCCTATTTCCATTTGCTCACACTTACATGGCCCTCATAGCTTTTCTTCAGTGATCCTAAATGACTGAGGAAACGCATTCCTAATCCACACCACTGCTCTGCTTCCTGATATTTACCAACGGTATACTGAAACATTCCTGTGTTCCAGGCTCTTGTCATCAACCAAAGGATCTCCATCTCTGGATAACTATCCTGGAGTAGCAAATAGAACAGGAGAATGGTGGTGCTTTTTTTTTCCCCCTACACAAGGGACAATTCTTTCAGGGTTATCACATGCTTCACTAAAACCTGGCCTTAAATATCTCTAAAGAAACCTTACAAAAATCAAGAAAAATTCATAGTACAGTCATAAATATCCAAAAGCCATTTCTACTGAGGTAACTTCAGTGCATCTTTTACTGAAGAAGTTTAAGCTGCTTCATATATAACACTGTATAATGTTTTACCTACTAATTATTCTCAACTTGATGAAAAAATAAATGTTTTAAATGTGCTCAGAATCATTTCCCAATCTCGTTTTCCTGTTCAACTTACTGTGCTGTTGACTACACTCAGAGCATCTTCAAAGTAGCCCCACACCTCCTGCAGCACACAGGCATCCAAGTCTGTCACTCCGGTTGGCAAAGAAACATTAATCAAACTATGTAAGCAGTTGCTGGGAATCAAAACAGAATGAAAGAGGAAATATTAAATACCACAGGCACAGAGCAAACTGCTACATTTTAGCACCTGCAGCATATTAACTTGTGCCTCTCTGATTGCAATCCTGATACGTCCACCTCTGTGCTTACTGCATTCCTATCTGTACAGCAGGGCACACACGTTTCTAGCATCAGAGCTCACTCATACAAGCTGTGCAAAAAGAGACCCAAGAGCAGCTGTTCTGTATTTTAGCTGCTGGGCTTGTAGCATTTTCATGGGATGCTATGCATGAGAAGACCCTTTTCTCATTTCACCACCAAGAGCTAAGTGCTCAGCATCCTCAGAAAATCTGTAACAAATACACAGCTTCTGAAAACAGGTTTCTTTCTTTCTCAGTGTGAAAAGAAAAAGAGAGTAGCAATGGCTGCCCCTGCCCACTGGTTGCAGCACAGAACTTAGTAAGAAGGAAAAAAAAATCCATTATGAGATAGAGCTGAGAGAGAAGGACATGCCAGGCTGTTTTTCAGATTCCACAAGCTACACAGCTGTTACAGAGCTGGTTACCCAGCAGAATAAATTGTGCATGTGCTACAGCATCTTATTGCTAACTTACACCTCATGGCTTTCTTCTCAGCCTTTAATTTGTCTTAATTTTCTAGTTCACTACTTCACTGCTGCAGAGAAGCATTTGGAACAAACACTTCTATAACAAGAAACAGCCAGAAACACTTTCTAGATCATTTTCCTTCCTCAATAGATTCATTTATTGTAAATATGACTTTCAGAAAACATGCCTAGCAAATAGGTTGCAGTTAACACACCTGTTAGACAGTCACACTTCAATGGTAGATTGGTTGGCCAGCAATTTAGAGGAAGCTTAAACATAAGCTAAAACTCACTTTTTCCAGTTGAAGGCTTTATTCCCTACCACATTTCAAACCACAGGCTCACGGCAAACGTATGTGATAACACTAACCTAAATTTCACAGCATCAGTGATAGTTTGCTTTTTGTAAAGGTTTACTGCACTCTTCAGAGCTTTCTTACACAGTACAGGATACCGAGCTGGAGGTTCCATTGCTAATGCTACAAAATAAAATAAATGTTAAAAATTAAAGAAATGGAGAAGAAAGAAATGATTGGAACTAGACTTTTATTTCATGGTCAGCATTTGCTTATCGCCTGGGCTGGTCACAAGGCAGTGCTTCTCTACTATATTCCTAGTTATAGACTCATCACTGAGGACTACAAGCAGAAGCACAGATTATCCACTGCTGCTTGCATTCAGTGCAGTAACCCCAAAATAGCAATGGGCTCTTCAGAAACAAGTATTATTTTGATTGTCTCTTAGGACATGAAAATCTAGATTGAAAAATTAGGCAGCAGTGGGATTTGAGTACAGTTTTTCCCTCATCTCCTTAAGACAGCAGAGAAAAGCAGGTGCTTACACAACTATATAGAATCCCTTCCAAAGTTTTGCCATGGCGGATCTACATTTTACACATCTTTTTTTGTTCTTACACTATATTCTCAAGAAAGCATGACTAGAACTTTGTGACGAAGATGAGGTATAGCATACAGAAGGATTATTTACAAATTAACTACACTAAACTGAAAAAGCAAATCTAGCCAAAGTCCACATCCTAAAACATCTGTGTTGGAACATGGAGCACCCAGCGCTGTTCTCTTGCCTTTGCCAGTTTTGGAGCCTGTAAAAGTTTATCTGAACAGCATTTTCCAAACTCAAGACTTATACAAATGTCTCAGATTCTAGAAATTAAAGGACATCACAAATTACTGGTTCATCATCCATGTAAAGCAACAACATCTCAAAGAATAGATCTCCTAATACTGCTGAAATCCGAAGCATCTTTGTTTCAGGACACAATATTAAGCTTGCATTAATCATGCATTTTTTGCATGATGTCCCATACTCAATAATCCTGGTCACCTCAAATGTACAGGAAAGAGTGGCATAAGCTGATTCTCATGACTTGAACTATGCAAGAATAAATGCAGTCCTTACATGCAATGATTTCTAGTGTCTTGATCTCTACGTGTGGTTGCTCCCATAGTGACTCAATGAAGTTATTAAGTGTTGGATCATTAAGCTTGGATCTTGCTTCAAATTCATAGAGCAGCAACAAAGTGTCTGTTGGGTCTTTAGAAAAATCTCCTATAGGAAAGATAGATTTGCCTGTATGTAATGATTCGTTTTCTTAAAGCTAAATTGTGTATAAGGTCAATATTTCACTTCCAACAGGCAGGAAAACCATTAACATCCTCAGATTTAACAGCACAGAAAGTAGAACTGAGAAGTAGTTGTGGATGGAATCCTCAGATGCCAAATGCACAACCCCACCAACCCCACGCTTCAAACCCCATCCCCAAAATCTGGGTTGTCTGTAATTGGCTAAATGCATGCAATCTGGACAAAAGTAATAGCTACCAGGAAAGCCAATGCCACAGACAGGTAAAACAGATACCACAATATCACTGCCTCAAAAGCTTATGAAAGACATTACCACCAGCTTTCAATTCTTTTAGAAGACTTGTCCCCTTTCTGGTAGGAAAACCCTCAGGAAAGAGAGTGGGAGAACAGCAGAACCACTAAGGTATAAACCCAGTATAAATGCCAAACCAGCCTTTACTATCACAAAGACCTTGACTTTTACATCTAAAAGACATTCTCAGCTTCATCCAGAGCAACAGGCTTGTCCACACACTGGCAAAAGTCTAGAGAATAGAGAAGGAAGAGCCAGGCTACCATTCCACAAACCTCCACAATAAAAACTCCCATCTAGCGAAATGTCCACATCCAGAGTTAATCAACCCAGTGGGATTTTAAGGATGGAGATAAAGAGAACTCCAAATCCAGTCTATAGTTCAGAAACAATAAAGTCTGGGGAGAAGGGGGAGCAGCAAGTAAATTTTTTGACAAAACTTAAATACTAATGCATCTTACAATGGAAACTCAGCAATTTCTGAAGCCTATCACTGAAAAGAAACCACAGGTCAGACAAGGAATGGCTAATAAGAGTTTTTCTACTGATGTATTACCAAAAAAAGGAAGCGTGTAGCCTCTGAGCTAACAGTCACACAGCATCACCAGTTATCACCAGCTGAAAGCCCTCCAGTCTCCTGTGATCAGTCTGAGCTATACTGACATGGAATTGCCAAGTAACAAAGATGGATTCTGAATCTTGAGAACATGGCAGTAGGTCTTTCTGTATTCTCTAATGCCCTTCAAGGGAAGAGTCAGTAAAACTATTAAAGCCATATCTTAGTCCAGACTCCAGTGCAAGAGTGGAGCCAAGAAAATCATGCAAATCTCCTACCAGTCTAATCTAGAGCAAAAAGCTTCAAGTTTCCTAACAGTGAAGACAGAAAAATCAACTCAGTTCACTCTAAAAGATCATTCCCCCTTCACAGCACACGTACAACAAAAAGCCAGCAATGACATAAAAAAAGCCATAGTTGGCACTGTAAATTCTCATGCTATATTGTCACACCTCTGCAATGGCAGTAACTCCACATGCCTTGTATTTTCAATGAATACAGTGACTAAGTGTGCTGAACAGCTCACCCGTTAATTTCAGAACTTTCCATATCTCTTTGCATGCCTGAAGGTGTTGGAGAGCCTGATTCCAAAACTCCACCTAATTTACAAAATGTTAAGAAGATATTTTTGTTATAGTTTTACAGGAAAAAGGAATATACAATTCACAACTGACAAAAGGAGAGACTTCTCCATGTCTAATTATTTAATGCATGCAGAACCTGCCTAAACAGCACATCATCCCCACCAGCTCCTGGGGGGTTGTGTTCTGTTTTCTCTCTCTTTTGTAATTACCTTCACTACTCAGGCAAAGCCTCTTCAAACTGAAGGTTCTGTTACTTCAAAAAGGACAATATGTGTCCCTAAGGGACATCATCTATTTTCTCTCTTGAACATGCAATAATCTTACTGAGACTAATAAACCACTGAATCCCACAAAATAAATTCCTTCATGTACCCTCAGAAAGGATGTATGGGGAAAAAAAATTAAAAAGGTGAATTTTCTCATATCCATGTAAGCATATTGGTAACTACTTTCAGCAGTGGCATAATCCTAAAGATGCAGTAACTATTAGGCAGCAGACTCCTCACATAACAAACAAGGTAGACTGGAGTTCCTTTAAGAATAGGCACCTTTGCTGATACAAACCTGTTCAAATCTATTTAAGTCAAATTGAATTACTTTACAGAAATCCAGTATTTTGAATTCACTGGGTGTACTGATTCTACTTAATTATGGAAGGTTCCCATGCTTACACTTTCAATATCTCGTTCTGAGTAAAACAACTAAGGCTTCAAAATCAAAAGCAAAAGAAATAGTGAATGTTCATTTCACAGATAAAGATCAAATGAGGCAACAGAACAACACCCTACCTGCTCAGAAAGTGTTACTTCTTGTCTCCCCAGCTCCAGATCAATTGCAGCTGCCATTAACAAGCATGTCTTCTGAGCAATTAGAACAGCTTTGTCAGAGGGACAGAACTGGGACAACTGAAACAAAAATAGGAGCAGGTAATGGGAATTGTGCCTATATAAAGCAATTTCCATGCTGAACAGAGGATTGTCAAGTGTCTTCTATGACTTTTTCAGTATAAAGGGTACAGCAGTGTTGGAGTTAAAGAACAAAACTTACAAAAAAAGCACAATGTTGTTAGAAGTTCTGCACGGAGATTTGGACTCCAGTACTTCTGTGTGTAAAATGTTTCTATTCATGATCCCGTTCCCATAGATGAGAACAAAGGTACTTCAGGAAGATCCCACTGAAGTCCACGTTTCTTACCATACTTTCAAAGATCAGATCGTAAAGGATAACAGCGGTTACATTTTATATTACATTTTTTTCTGACAGAAGTGCTCCATTCTCAGAGCACACATGGGCTCCTCCAAGGAGATAGCTGATACTTGGATGTAACTTCTAACAGAACCAGACTGATGACAGTATCAGTACATACCTTGAAAGATAGTACAAAAAAATCCCTCATCTTTTCAGGGCAGTCCTTGAGCTGTACAGCTAAGTTCCAAGCTAACAAAGATATAAAAACTGAAGATTAGAATAAAGACCTTAGACATGTTACAGGTTATGACCATCTAATCTCCAGTAATAGGCAGAACATATTGTGCAATTCAATTTCTTAATCAAAATATCATCAACAGGTCATTTAATGGCAAGGGATACCTATGCTAGTGATTTGTTAACACATCTTACTCCTGCTTTCAAATCTTGTTTTGTAATTTTATCACAATCAAGCATCCATTCTAACACATATTCTCCCACAAGAGTATGAATTGCAAGAAGCATTTTCCTGTTAGTAAACAAGATCAGAATCTGAATAAAAATATTGACCAGTACTCCCAAGACAAGTAATTAAATAGAACCACAATCACACCATTCACCACCTAAGGCAGCACATTCACCTGAGCTTTCTAATGCTGATTTATTCTGCATAAGAACATGCATACTCAGTATTTGTTGTTATTTTTTATTGCCATTAGCAGTAACTTTTTTTCAGACACTAAAGAAAATCATTCCTATTCCTATTAGCGTGATCTTGCATTTGACTTCAGTAACAAAATCTTGTAGCAAAGGGCTAAGCAGGAGAAAAAATATAAGCCCTGCATACTGTATCATGGGCACAAAGAGCTCCTGTGGTAAAGAGCAGTGCTAAATACCCCATCAGTCACACAGACCTCACACAAGTATTTGTCTGAGTTAAAATATGAGCCATACCAGGCAGTTTCAGAAGACAAAAAATGAACAAACCAGTTAAAGCAGAGACTGACAAAGGTGACACCTTTCATAATACTGCATCTTCAAACACTTTCTCCTTCCTTAAGATCAGGCTAAGTGGAGGTAGAGGTGATTCATTTTTGGTCTTAAGAGTACAGCTTACCAACTTTTCTAAACCAGTGGGCTTCCGAAGTCCTTACTTCTCTTGTCAAATTCTCCTCTGTGAAAGGCTCAGCAAGTCTCTGGTGAGCTGCAGAAAATGTGTTCGTTAGGAGACAGGTTGCATTTTCTAAGCAGAATACAAACAATTCCAAGTCTAGTAACTACATTACAAATACCATTTTTTCAAAATTCCCATGTAATCCCTGATGAAGGGTTATTCTCACAGCTTAAATCTAATATGATTGACCACAAAAGCTTAGAAAACAAACATCAGAAGGGGTCTCAAACAGCATTTAGGATAAGATATAAGGCTCCCAGTAGGTACTGCCTCTTCAAAGTTATTGGCACTGAAGCCTAATGCAGAGGAGTTTAACTGAATTTGCTCAAAAAGTTGGGTGGGGATTAAATTTAATAAGTGTTGTTTAAGGGTTTTCTTCAAGGAACATTTATTTCTTTTACTTCTCTGTTCATTCCCTTCTGAAAGTCACAGTCAAGAACGGCTAGTATAGGAAAAGTTCAGTATTTCATTAACTTTCTTTTCCAAGACAGGGGGAAAGCAGTAGAAAAGATTAATGAAATTCAGAATTTATACTGATGGGAAAGTCTTCTGTAAAACTCTTGTATGCATTCCAAAGCAAACAAGACATTTCTTTTTCAATGAATGGCACAGCTTAAAAGTAGCATCCAATTTTGACAAGTCTCTCCTCATCTCTCAGCAATTTGCTAATACTGCTTGAAGTTTTCTAAGCCTTCCAAGACAAAAGAAAAACCAAATCTTAAATACCTCCCAGAACAGCTAAAACAGCAAACACCATCACTGGCATTTAATTGACACCAACAGAAAGCTGTGCTGCTAACTGATGGTACAAAGCCAAACTTCTTCCTTTCTGAAGACACCAACTTTGTTTCTGCCAGTGCAGTCAGAGCAGGGACAGACACCTGAGACCACTCAGGCTGTGTGACTTTTACCCAAATATATGTTGGTTGCATGTGTGGCCTTATGAAGAACTGATCTCTCTTTCCTTAGCACGACTGCCTAGAAGAGCCTCTGGTTTGAGAGAGGCTGCCAAGCATAGGCTTTGCCAGGAAAAGCACTCTACAAGCTTTCCATAGCAAAAAACCTTTAGGATTGAGATCCAGCTGCCCAGCACTGCTGAATCACCAGTTTTAACTTGGGAAGCTGAGAATATGAAATAAGGAGTCAGTATGGACCTGATCACATCATAAAACATTCACGAATGGAGGAACTACAGAAAATGTAAACACAATAAAGACATACCCAAGGTCAAATAAGTCAGCATCGACTTGATGTCTTTATCTCTAAAATGGAGGAAAAAATCAGGTTTTAGACAACATTTGATTAATTTTCTTACAATAGAATACATTATTGATGCGGGAAGACAACAGCCCCTTAATAATAGATATGATCATTCTTCTGACAAATACATCAGGCGTTAGAAACTCCTGGCATTTGAAGGCACAAAAGGAGTGCAGAGGGCCTGCAAAAGATTTTAGTGACCTACAGTAGTGAAGGTCATTGTAGAAGTATAGATTTTCTCAGTTAGTATCATGCAGTTAGGAGCTACAGATGAATCTTCTAATCTCACTGCCAAAATCCAGCAGTACAGTTCTACTCCTTCCATGCCATCACATTATCTGTAAAGTGACCAGCCTTCAGCAAGGGAGGTCTCACTCTCAAGTTCTAACTCAGAACTTCTGTAAGATATTTCAACCTTGTGTCAGCGTTAAAAAGAATGCTTAGCTCATATTCCCATTAAACAATAAAACTGGAATGCAAAAAGCATGTATTTAAAGGAAAGGTTATACAAGCAGATGCCTCTGTGCGACATCATTAGTTCACAGTGGGAAGTCATTGGGTGGACTTTTAACTAGCAAAAAAACTAATCTCTTGATTACTCCATAAGAAAAAAAGTCTATGTTACTTTTTGTTTGTATAGTTTATCTGCCATAAGAACACATTTTACAGATGTACTCACCTTTTCTCTTCTTTTTCTACATTTGACAACATAAGACGAACCAAACATCTGAATATGAGAAAAAACAAAAGTGAAGAAACAAGATAATTTTTTCCAACAGTGTACTTTGCCCTCAGGTTTCAGAAAGGATCCCACTTTCTTCTTTATGCCATCAGTCCTCATAGCTCACAAAAGAATCTGGTGTCAAGCTGAGAAGAATATTGTTATAGTTTCCATCCCATTGCCTTATTTTATACACCCTTTTGTTAAATCAGGTAATAGAAAGTAAATAAATGTACTTTCAAAAAAGTTTCAAACAAAAAATGGAAAGAATAGGTTTTTCTTGCAGTATTTGTCTTTATAAAAGTGATAGAATGTTTCAACAAGACATCACTTCATCACAGGATACAGATGATCTGGTATTTTCACCATACACATTGCTGCAATCTCAGCAGAGTTGCTGTTGGTCATTTGTTCAAATCACAGTGAAGTCAAACTCAGAGCTTGAAAAGGAAAAGGCTTGAAATGTATACAGACTCTAGGAGTCTGGGCCTGAGGTACATCCCCAGCACCGAAAGCACTGCTACCTTATCTTTCATCCACTCTGCTTTCCACCTTCCTCAACAAAATCATTTATGTTGGAAAGAAACCAGAGTTTTCTTTCCATGTAAATATCACAAATCCTCACTTTAATGCTGCAAATACTTGTTGGCAGTCTTGTGAATGTTCAGACAGGTGCTCCAAAGCTCTGATAGCCACAACTTGTTGATCATTCTGAAATAAAAAACAACATTAAAGCACAATTTGTACAAAACCTTCTTGCTCAGTTTCCACAAAACAAAACAATGGAGAAAAAGAAAAAAAAGAGCAAAAGATCCAGCACAGAGTTTCTCTCAGAGCTGAAAGAAAACCATAAGGAGAGATACAATTCCACGTGCAAAGAGCCTAAAGCAATAATAGGATCAGTACAATTTGGCAAGCACTTCATGCCTTGGAATGCTATGCAGCCCTACAAAGCATCCAAAAGCCTCCTCTGCTAATGCCACTGTCAGTCAGTCAGTTCAGGCATCATGGTCACTGATCAGTGTTTGAGGCAAACAGAGGGATAAATGATTTTTCAGTCCTTCATCATTGCCTTATGTCATTTTGTACAAAGGTTCTTCTAGCACTGCAAAGATAAAATCCCAGGGGTAGGAAGAAATGTAACATTTTGCTGAAGAGAATTTTACAGAAATACACCATGACATTTCTAGATACTAACATTTACAATTCAGAATCACTTGTTTTCCAGAAAAATAAGTATATGTTAAAATAAGTTTATTCATATATGGTGTCAATTTGCACTTTGCTTTACACAATGCATCTCAGAACAGATAGTGAGACTTTGGTCACACACATTTATTAAATACTTCAAAATGCGTGAAGTAGAAATACTAAAAGTAGGCCAGGTTACAGCTGTCCTACTTATAGAATGAGGCAAAATAAAGACAGTGTTATCTGTTCTACCTCTAAAGCAATTTGGGCAGCCAAAGTCAAGAGGTTAGTGCTCATACTTTCACCCACTATCAGCTTGTCTTCACGTTCAGATGGCTTTTCAGCTAGCTTCCCCATTTCAATAATTGCTTCCACAGCTGAAATATACATAGAGAAAAATCAGTTGTTGGGGTCTTTTTTGTTTGGTTGTTTTTCTTTTAGTGGAAGCAATGGGAAGGTATAAAGTTCCACTGTTTTAATAAGGCTTTCGATACAATTTATAAAAAAATAAAATTATAACCTTTCATAAGACAAATCAAGACAAGAAAACCTGACCATACCAACAGCTCTCCACAACTATGCATTTCTTCCTAGAGGGGCCAAAAAGGCATTCTAAGCTCCTAGTCTAAGGAAACAAGGATGCCACACAAATGAAACTGCATCTCACATATTCTAAATTTTGCTCTGCTAAGTATCTTTTTGTCACAGAAGACTTTCTTTAATCTATTGTCTGGGCATGCTTCCAAGCTCCCACATCTTGGTTCATGTTAGGGCTGCTGCTGCTTTTATGCTCCTACTGTGCTGTGTTTCCCACTCCATATTATCTGAGCAAATTAGGCTGTCATTTAAAAGACATATAGAGAATAATTAATCTGCACAGAACTCATTGAAGAATAAGATCTGCTTGTTACTCTGTATTCTAGTTAAGTCTATAGACTATATTTCTCAATTTTAATTATTTGAGCTAAGATTCTCATTAAAATATGAAGTGGCAGAAGAAAAAGTCTACAGACATATGTCATTCTGTAAGTCATCTCAGTCAGCTCATGTATTTTCTGGTAACTTCAGGCTCTGCTTGACCAGAGAAATCAAGAGCAGTGATAATGGTTCATCTAGCCCTGTAGCATTTTTCCAGCTGTACATACTTACAAAAGAACATTAGAAATAGCAAGTCTACAATGATTCTCACCCTGGGACGCTGCTTTAGCTTTTGCCCACAAGATTAGAGAATTCCTAGCCAAAGACTCCACCTAGACAATATTCCAGGCGTGACAACAGATTCCACACATATTACACGCTGTGTGTAAAACAACATCCCCCTCTGACAGCTCAAAATCTACAGCCTGACAGTTTCAGTGATTTTATAGACACTTCTCCTATCTTCTATCTATCTATCTATTATGTCTTTCCCAGAATTAACAGTCCATGTCTGCTGAATATTATCTACACTCAACACTTCTGATCATTGTAGCGAACCCTTTTGCCTTTCAAGTTCTACCTTTATCGGTATTATTCTCCATCACTGCAACCTTATAGACACTGAATTGAGTAAAGATGCTGTATGGATCACACCTCTCTGCTTCTTTAACCGCCTCTTTAGCCTATACACAGAAAAGAAAGGAATTCAGTGCAGTGTTGCAATAGGAGAGAGCTAAAAATTGTAATGGTTTCATTATAGATGTTTATACAATTACTGTACAAGTTTGGTTTGGCAACAACCCCCCCCAAAAGAAAAGCGATCAGAGCAGAAGATAACACCAAGGACAGACAATGACTGTAATGAAGAAGAAAGCAATTCCTCAATTGGAGCCACAGAATTAGAAAGCAGAAGAAGCCCTGAGAATGCTGAAAGATTAAACTCCCTTCTGCCACTTTGAACTGTGAAGTTCAACATCCCCAAATCAGAACTTAGACAGGTAATTCACAAGCACTGCTCTGCAGGGCTGAGGGCTAACACTGCATGGAAGTTCTAGTGTGACAAGTCAAATGTTTTCTCTGCTAAGGCTCATCTGTCTTGAAGGGAGAATGGCCCCTAATTTGAGAAGAAACCTGATACTGTGAGGCATGCTAAGGCAACCTGTGGTTTCCCCTGTTACAATGATGGGTGATAGAAGAGGCCCCCAAAGCAGTGAAGATAACCAGTGTATCTCTCAGATCCCCTCAATGCAAAATAGGTACAGGAACAAACACGTAAATTAAGTCCAAATGATATAGCTACAAACACAAAAGCAATGTTATTAAATAAATATACCTTGTCAATTTGTTTCAGATGAAGATAGCAAGAAGCCATATTTCTCTGCAACTTAGCCAGATTCTGATCTATCTGCCCAGGTGTATAGAAGCTGCCAGAATAGTTGTACCAGTTAAGAGCTTCAGAATAGCTTTTTGCCTAGGAAATTAAAAAAATAAAAGGAGGAGGCATGATTAATTGGCCTGTTCTCCTAAATTAAACGAAACCATCATAGGAAATGAAAGATTCAGATAGTAAAGTAGTCTTTTTCCCAGAAGAGCAGTCACTGAACCCACAGCACAGGCACATAAGTTAGGAGAACAAATATTTTACCTATTCCTGCTATTCTACTACAGATGTCTTAGTGTAAGAAATATTTTAAGGTTTTTTGCACTCTTCCCAGGACACAACCAGAATGGTGGGCTGCACAGGTTCTGTGGCTGATCTATTCTGGTATTAACTGTTCCCATTTACAAACCTGGAGAGACACCTACCTGAAGCCTGATGTTTTAATGGAAAAGAGCACCTATCAGGATGAAAGTAAAACTAGTTCCAAATGGAACAGGGATTTTACTAACAACTTACCCTCTATACAAAGCCAGACATATCAAAGAAGTCAGAAAAAGATCTTCATTTTCACAAACAACAACACTACATGGTTCCAAACCTCATAATGTTTGGCAGCTCTGTCCCACAAGATGATGTGCAGTCGGTTCAAGGTTTCAGGCAACAGTTGTTTCCCAGTGTAGTGACCTGAAAAGATACTGCAAGTCATCACTTTACAAGAACTTCAAGAACCACACTGAGAGAACTATCTATGTTTAAAGCAACTGTCCGCTGCCTAAAACAAGAAACAAAAACACAGCAATAGCTTCATCCAGGACCCACTGCTCCATATCCTGCTTCTGGAAAGAAAAAGTAGCAAGCAAGAGAATAACTACTGTCATGCTTTAATGATGACAGCATGGCTTCTGCACCTAGCTAAATGCTACATAAAGCACAGTCTGATTTCAAGCAGATATCACACTCAAGAAACACTCCTGTGCTACAGGTGCAAAGGACCTGAAAAAGAACCTGTAATTCAGCTGTTCAAACAAGGACATGCAATCTGTTTTAATACTGACATACAAAAATACATTGAGCTGGATGGGCAAAGCATTAACATCACACGGAATTTCAAGCAAATGTTTATGTTCCCACATGCATCAATCTCACACAGCCCACACTAAGAAGGAGGAACTGTTTTAGCAAGAGAATTTAGCCTTGAGCTTTATCATAACTGTCATTCATTATGGAAGTTGAGGGTTGCCATGCAAAAGAAACAGAAGGGAAGGTAGACGCAAACAAAAAGAAAGATGAGAGTATATTAAAAAAATAAAATCAGAATTCAAGGCTAGCCAACTAAATGTAGCTTTCAGCAAGTGGCAGCAAAACAGGGATACAGACCTATAATAATTTCTTCAACCTTTTGCTTAGCAAGCAGCTCCCTCTTATTCTGCAACAAGAACTCGATGTAGAGCAGGGTGACTTTTCCAAAGTCAGGTGAAGCTTCAAATCGTTCAGCAACAGATTTCAGAAAATCAAAGCCAACTGATTCCCTGTTCACATTGACAGAATTTTAAGAGGCTGCACATAAAAAGCTGTTAATTTTCCATTCTAAAGAGTAACGTTCACACCATTCAGTATGTTTCTCATTAGTATTACTGGCACACAACCACACAGACAGAGTCAATCAAGGTATGAATGCACCACAGTTCATCTATTCTGTAGTTACTTCCTATTAGCACATGCTTATTCTACAGTATTCACAAGACAACTTACATTTCACAATGACAGAGTTAGAAATTACTACAAGATGAAAGTGCACATGTAAGTAATCACAATGGAGCAGTCCACACTGTGAATTTCATGCCTTTGTCTTCCAGTCTGTTCATCTTCATACTGCTTTTCACTGGGATTCCAAAATCTTTAATTCTCAGTGTTGGTTAGTTAACAGGGAAGAAAAATACAATTCCAGACCTATGGCAAATACTAAAACCGCATGGAGATGATCCTGATTATTCCAAAGGATACAATATTGCAAATCACCACTAGACATTGTTTCTCACTCTGTTCTGCCGTTGTGCTAATATGTATCACCTTCCCACTGCATAGATAGGCTACCTCTAAAAACAGCTTCCCTGCCTCTGCCAGTTCCTACTTAAAGTGTCACTATATAATAGATGATCTTTGCTTATGGAAGAACAGCTACAAAGCCCAAATATTGTGTTCACTGCACTTAGTGGTGCTTTCATACCTTCCATGCTCCAGCAGCAGTTTGGCAGTATTCAAACAAAAGTCTAAAGACATCTCATGGTGCTGGAATTCTTCAACAGCTAAAAAGAACAAAATGCTGTTGAGATTATTAAATCAGCTTAAGACACATGACAGCTCAATGTATGGTCTTATAAATTCTTTGGGAGAAAAAAAAAAAAAAAGAACACAGTAGTTCTAAAACTAAGGAAGAATAAGACACGTCAATTGTGTTTTGACTTTCCTTTCTCTGTCTCACAATTAATGTAACACTACAGAAATGTGACAGACTGACAGCCCTGGTATTCTAGCCCTGGAGTTCCTCTGCTAACACTGGCTGTTATGGCCAAAATGCCAAATCAGAACTGGGACATTTAGCATACGAAAATTCCTCTAGAACACATAAGAAGGAGATGTTTTTTTTCTTTTCAATTCATTTACTCAGGCTGTCCAGTTGGACATGGAATAGCATGGCAGCTATAGAGAACTGTGCTACCTGAGCTGATGTCTTCATCTGATGCTCCACTTTTAAGAAGAATTTTTACTTTCAGAAAAAACCCTGCTGGATGCAAATTCTCCTGCATAGGGAAAAATAATCCATCACTTGGATATTCTACCGTTTGTAGAAATTTAGGGCAGAACAACAATGGGAACAAATAGAAATAATGAAGGCTTTCTACTACAGCTTTTATTAAAATGGTGTATATATCAAACTTCAGAATAAAAATTTTCTTCTAGTTTTCCATATATTACCAAAAATATACTATCAAAACATTCTTCCATTTCAGAAAGTTTTCTGAAGGTAAATACAGAACACAAACTGCTTACATGTAGCAGTAATGTATTATAGGTGTGGTTTGAATGCACTGCCACTTACCCTGACCTCACCAGCATCCTCATCACCCGTCTGAAAGCTTTAATACTATGTTGAAAACTGGATTTGAGCTTTCACTTCCAACAGGATTTTATACTTACAATTTATTTTGTGTGAATCAAATAACAGAAGTTTAAGAATAGTCAACCAACAACAAACTGAAAGGTTTTGAATTTAAGTTTTTTCAGTAAACTGAAGACACAGAAGAATAAAGTTAATCCAGCTCCCTACATGGCAAATGAAATTTCTATAAGAGCACAAGATCTCAATGCAGTAGCTGCTTAGAGATGTATGAACTTTCTACAGCTACAGTTCTTTTTTCAGGTTCCTGAAGAAAAACAGTCAAGCTAGTAAGGCAAAATAGTTAAATTAATTGCTAAAAATAAGGCTGCTGTTTGCATGAAACTCTCTTTGCTATTTGCTCAAACATTTGTAAAGGTAATGAAACAGGGACTCAAAATGTAGTATGGGGAGATCCACTGTAAACCAAAGTCAGACAGTTTTCATGCCATTTAGTCACACCACTTTCAGAGGGTCTCACTGTTAATAGAACCACAGGGCAGCAACACTGCTCTGCATCTACATACTGAGCTGTGTTTCTCTAGAAAGGTACAAATATCAAAATATATTTAGGAGCACGAAAAGCAAAGCAAAAACACCTCAGTCCATAAGTCAGCTGATTTCAAGGAAAACACCAGTGGTCTATATCGTGTTAATAGATGTTAATAATGCTTGAGTTTCAGTTATTGCACACTATAAATATAAGAGCACATCACTACCTCGTTTGCCAAGTTGACAGCCTTCAGTGCCTTGTCAAGATACAGACTGCAATCCCACTCAAAATAGGCTGTAGCTAACAACCGCAGCACTTTTGCCTGGAAAAGAAAAGGAAAAGTTCAAATCCAATCTACACAGCAGGAAGAACACAGGAACACAGACACAAAAGGCTTAAATTTTAAGGCCATGAGAAATAAAGCTCTCTCAGTCGAAAGAATATTTGTCTGACAGCAAACATATGAAGTGACTGCTCAGCTCCAAAGCCCAAGCAGCAGTGCTCTGTGTGGAGTCCTGACAGGACACGAATCAACCAGAGAGCTCAGAGAGCAGAAGAGTAATGAGGAAATTCAGAGATGTGTTAAAAAAGAATGAAAGAAGAAATTAAATGAACAAGAGTTACAAACTTTAAAAAAAAAAAAAGAAAGACATACAAGAGAATGGCCGTCAAACACACCTCAGAAATGACAGAGATGTATGTAATGATGATTTGAAAGAATGGGGAGGAAGGAAGAAATGATGGCCTCTCAGAGCCTGAGTCTTATTTTCTACAGTTAAATCTCTGTGAAATAATAGATTCAAATGTGATTAAGGGCACTTAATAGTGACTCAGCTCTCAGACCAATGCTCATAGAAGGGGATCTGCAGCTTTGCCAAACTTCATGGCAGAGAGGACTATAAAAGAGGCCATAGAATGACTGATCAGATTTGCACAGCAGAAATAGCTGTACTGGAGTTATGTTAACAAAAGCCTCCTATTTGCAAACAGCAGTTTCTCTATTTCTTACCTGCATCTCTTTCCCAATAGAATTATTCATATCCATCTTCCCAATGTCATAACTCTGGCTACCAACAACAAGGAAAAGTTAAAATTACATGTGATGACAGGGATAAATTCAGCCAGTCTTCTGATACATGCAACATTCCTATCCTTTCCCACCTCTGAAGCACTCAGAAACCTCATAAATCACACAAACCAGTCTCAGTACTCTACCTTACGAGAGAACTGATTCTTTTTTTTCTGAATCCTCATTTTAAAAACTGTACTCAATCACTGCCTTCAACCTATTGCGCCACATTCTCTAATATCTTCCATTTTGGTGGGCTCTATCACTTCTAGCTAAAGGTGTTTGGAGGAGGTAACTGCTCTCACTCTCACCTTACAGATATTACAGTCATACACAGATGGTATTTATGACCCAGTCTCAAGGTCACAGCAAATCAGGAGCACAAAAACAAGACCTGGAGGTCACAATTTCTCACTCATTTTCTGAAAGTTGAATGAGAGCACAAAGGACCACCCAGGGAAAACACACTGGTAATTCCACGAGAGATTCGATGTTACATGGTGCAAATTAAGCACTGTTAAAAACAGAACAGACAATTGTTTCCTGATCTCATACAGCATCTTATGCCACTAGATGGAGCTAAATCTCTATATCCAGACAAATATCTGCTCTTCGTAAAGCCTTATTTCCTCCCCAGATTTTGTCATTAGACTCAGTATTTAATTTTCCACTAGAATAAAATATAAAATAATCTCCAAAGCACCAGCTGTAATCAACTCCAAGCGTTTCTAAAACTACTCTTTGATTGCATATGTGACCATAAATATCTTGATTTAGATGTGTTGGCACTTGTTTCCTTCCTGTGTATATAAAACAAAAAGAACAAGAAGAAATAAAAACAATTCTCCTGACCTTGGTATGAGGATACTTCTCCTGACAGCCTAAAGGTTTCTTCCTTAGCAATAACACAATACTTAATGGATGCTGCCCATATCATCTCTAACTACTCATCTTTCACCTTGATGTTTGTGTCTTTCATCAATCAAGGCTTTGCTGTCAGTGAAGCCATTTTCCTTTCCGAGAAATTCAAACATTCCTTAAAAATAAATCTATTTGAAACAGAAAAATTCTTTTACATTTTCCTAAAGTACACAATAGTGATGGAATTTGAAAACAAGTGGCCTCTTCAAAAAGGCAATCTATTTGGAAGGAGCTTTAAGGAGAACAACTTCCACATGGAAAGAAGGTTTTCATTTTAATTACATGAAAATCAATGTGGAAAACAGACATAAATGTTAGGCAAGAGATTACAACAGGCACTAAGCATTGGCTCAGCCAGTATGGTTCAGTGAAAATCTCGTGTTCCCTTATTTCCAATCAACCTTCTGCTTTCCCTCGCTCCCTCCTCTCCTTCACATAGATTTTTACATGACAAAAGCAACTTTGGTTGCCTTTTCACATTACCTGAGCCAAAAGGAGCTCTGCTCATACTTCTTACAGTCATAGGTTTCCACTCCGAAGTTATAACAGAGGATTGCCAGGTAACGGCTCTGCAACAAAAGGCTGCTGCTTCTACAATGTTCTCATAGAAACATCACCAGATCTATGGCACTCAAGTCTCACTTTCTTTAAAATACTTCTTACTTTACAGATACCTACTGTGATCACTTCTGACATTATTTGATAGGGTAGTACTGAACATGACTAAAATCACATTGTTCTGTGGGAAAGTGAAGTGATGTGAGCCAGTTTAGGACATGGAAATCAGAATTCTTCAATGCATGAAACTGAATGGTTCTACAAGAAGCCAAGCTGAAAGCTCTAGAACTGTGCAAAGCATACAAAATAAAACCTGAGAGGAAAAAATGGAATATTACTACTTCCTTTACAAAAATGACAAACGAGCTTTAATTTTGCATCGTTAAACGAATAGAACTCCACCTCCTGCATGATAGCCTTTTTTCCAGCATGCACCACTGCATTATAAAAGGATGATCCACACCACCAGTTAGAGAAAAATGTGTTTGAATGCTTGGCTATTCAGAGCACTATTGCTTTTTGCTTTATCAGTCAGGCCTGACAGTATCTGTTCATAACAACTTGTCTTTCAGATGAAATGATTTGCAACTGTCATGTTTGCAGCTGTCCAAAGAGGAGACAGAAAAGCATTTTCAATGCTAACAGACTGCTAATATTTGCATCCATTTCGCCTCCGTGGTAACTGTCTTTTCAAAGTACAAAACGTGCTCCTTGCGAGGGAATTCAAACCCTCAGCCAAGAACGAGAGCTGCAGAACAGCATCTTGCTTTAAACTGATTTATTTCTGATCTCATTGCAATCCAGAGACAAAAGCACAGATTCAGTGCGGGTGAACAAAAAACGATCGCTCTCATAACTGAAATACAGCGAATGACTGCATTTCAGGCACCCTGCATAACACAAAGCACTCCCATAAACCTGACAGCTCTCTGAGCAGTGAGCGTTCCCATAGCTTTGCAGCTTCATTAACATGAAGATTAGTGCTGAGGATAGACTTGCATATCAAAATCCCAGCAGCTCAGCTCCTCTCTGGGCCCACCTGTTTCCAGACAAAAGTTCACCGATAAGAGCAAAGAAGCAACACACTGTTGCTGTATCTAAGCAAGATAAAGAGGCACAGCTGTTTCTGCAGAAAAGCAGTGCCATATTCTATCCAGAAATTCTTTTGCCTGTCTTGATTATTTGTCTTCACACATTCTTTAGGAAGGGTTTATCATTTTCACCCAGAGGGTGGTGAGGCATTGGAACAGGTTGCCCAAGGAGGCTGTGGATGCTCCACCCCTGGAGGCATTCAAGGCCAGGCTGGATGTGGCTCTGGGCAGCCTGGTCTGCTGGTTGGCGACCTGCACATAGCAGGGGGCTGGAGCTAGATGATCACTGTGTTCCTTTTCAACCCAGGCCATTCTGTGATTCTATGATCATTCTATCTCAAAGGATAAACTCTGAGCAAATGGAAAAACTTCGGAGGAAAAAAAAATCTGTCACTCTTATACAAAACCTGCAGTAAGAAAACCTCAAAGAAGCAAAAAAAAAAAAATACAGAAGACAGTGAGAGTTCTCAAAAATATTTCTCAAATTTTAATATAGCATGTGTCATTCTTTAATACATGGGGAGAAAAACATTTGCAAACTTTGGCATGATAAAGAAGGTATGATTTCACTAACCTCTCTTGGCAACCTCACCAACATGTCCTTGCAGCGCTGCACGCATTGCGTTGCTTTCTGAAAATCCCCCTGAGCAACTGCCTAGGAAAGCAGAACGTGCCAACAATCTGTAAGTTAACTACTTGCCTCTAAAATCTGTTACAAGACTGGTTCTCTAAAAAAAGACTTGGATTGCAGGCCTTTTTTGCATTCAGGATAGCCAAGTTTGAGATTAGTTATCTGTCCTTACAATGCTACAATAATTCTGTATATCTTTATACACTGAAAGACATCCAGGAGTGCCCACAGGTAGTGTGAAAGGCTCAGATCCACGGCACTGATTCATTCACATGTCAGATAACAGCAAATCTTGGACAGCTTAACAAATCTTGAAACACCTCTCCAGTAATTTAAGGTCCTCTCATCTCAACTAGAAGTTAAATGAAAAATTTTGGACTGTTCAGGGAAACTCTTCATAATTTTGAAGACAGTAACCCCTTCTGGATTCTGAGATCAGTGCTGTTATCAGCAAACGGGAGCAGCTGATTCATCTCTCATTTATACCCATATGTCTGTAATACTCTGTAGTATTGACAAAGTACTCAGAAACTTCAGTCAGGCAGCAAAAGTCAGGACAATGCCTCTCAAAACACAGAATTTCTGAATGATGTACTTTGAATTCATTTAATCTGCCCTGCTGATCCCCTACAAAACACTCAGCATATTTTCAAACTTCTCTCACGTTCAGCCAGACTTCTTTCTTTAAATCATCAATCATAATTCCTACCTCATTGTACAACGACAGAGCTTGAGACTTTAAGGAAAATGTCAAATGTCATGGAACTCATTATTGCCAAACATTGCCATTTTATACCCATTCTCCCATTGTTGCAAAGCCTTTATATGTAAAAAGCAGCATGTATTGGGTCATGGAAGAAAGGGTATCCATGTATAGGAAGATTTCTATCCAAAGACATTGAACAGTAATATCTTTGATTACATTGCTCATACAAGTCAAGAAACTTGTAAGTTAGAGAAGTTTGTGGACATGTGGCTTGCAACATCTGCTTGTCAGACATGAACCTTGGCTACTAACAGCACCTTCATATGCTATTCAGCCAATTTAGTTGCAAACCCCAGCACTGTCTGATGACTGCTTTGAATGACCAATTGTGCTGTATACATGCTACACAAACACAGTTTTGGGGACCCAGGCTCTAAGGCAGTTCTACCCCCTTCCTTGGGCAAGCACAGGTCACCTTTGGAACTGACACATGATTCAGAAAGGCAGCTGTTGTATAAACACTCAAATTACAGAGCAACAAATCTGAACGAGAAGATATAAACAAGGCAGCAGAAATGACTGCGATAAATTAGACAAATTAAAAACCATTAAATTATTGCAACATCAAACTCAAACATCACATCTGATATCTTACATCTAAGCAAAGAAAATGCATCCTTCAGCAAGGCTCCAGTGCCAGGCATTCATACACCTAATTAACAAGTCAGAGTTTCCCTCCGTACCCCTAGGAACTTATAAAGTAAGCTGGGAGGAACACGTACTGATTCAGCCTGATAAGAGAGCACTTTGAAGAGGTCCTTCTCCACATCAGCTTTGCACACATGAATATCTGCCTCACCATCGCCCTCCTTGTGTAATTTTGCATACAGCTTTTCTATGCTCTGGAAAACAAAGCTTAAGCATGACCCATGGGAGTCACAAATAGGTGTGTTTATAAAGAACTAGAGCCAGAAAAGGACTTACATTCATGGCAATCTCTAAGAATTCATCAGCAAGATCAGCTTTGCCAATATCTATCCAAACTTTACCAGTTTTCATTGACATCTGCAGGAGAAAATGATCAGTGCTTTGTGAAAATCTGGTCACTTCCAGGACAGGCAGTGTTAGATCCCTTCTTATTAATATATATATTATGTAGGAGAGGTATTCCAGCTCTTCAGTTTGTCACAAGTGTCTCACATACGAATGAACTCTACTTGCAGCACAAGGCTTATGGTGCCAGACTATACAACACTGTAGATACTGAAATAAATGAATGTGCTGCTCTTATAATATTTTAACGTATGACAAAGATGCGATGCTAACTGCGCTGACTCAGCAAGGCACCCCTGTGATAACATGGGCCCACCCTCAGCATGCATCTTCTCTAGAATTACAGGCATATCTCACTCACTTTCCAAAGTAATTGCAATAGGTTTTTTAGTTTTCCCACACCGCTCACCTGCCCTGAGCCTTACCAAAATCTGCCTCCGAATGGTTACCTCCGGAGGATTGCTGCCTTCACAAAGACGCACCAGCCTACAAGCAACAAATCTCACTGCAAGAAAGTAAGGCATATATTTTTAAGTTCCTTTTTGTTGTTGTTGTTGAGAAAGTCAGGCCCTGCCATATCCCAAAGATGGTTTAAAGTTATGAGAGAGAAACTTTTGGAAGCTTCAGAATTAAAATTTTAGTCAAGCTGCTTAAAATTGCTTTTCAGGCATCAAAAAGAAAAAAGAAACCACCCCAAGATACCAAGATATTCTCCTCAAAATGTCTATTAAACACTTTAGAGAGAGTTTAAGTCAAAGACACAGTATTCAAAGACTTAATTACATTGCAGGTGCTCACACTAGCATGTCTTGAGCACCTCAAACAGCCTTCAGCAAAATAGGGAAATCAAGTTTAATAATCTTTATGTTTTCAAAGTAAAAAGCACAAGTATTTTCTGGCCTTTTTTATACACTGAGGGTAGAAAACATACCACTTAATGTATTTAAAATAGCCTCTCCCTGGCCCTTCAGCTGTGATAGAAGATCTGAGAACATTATGTTCTACAACAATTATCACTTATTTTGTGTAAACTTACCCTTTTCCCTTCACTTGACATCACTTACATGATGCAGATTATACTTAATTTTAACTGTTATCCCTTAAGAGAAAAATGTAGGCCAGATACTGCAGTCCTGTAGCACCACATAAAGAACTGGTTGACAGCATAGACTAAAAGCTCACTTTGCTTTTCCCTAGCTCTAAGCAAACCTCCCAGCTGTACATAGATGGCTGTGTATAGAAGGCTATAGATGCTAAGGCAGGGCAGTGAAAAAAAGGATTTAGATTTTTTTCTGTACATAAATACAGGTAAGATAATCACATTAAAAACAGCCTCACGTTTTAGAAACTGACAGTCAAATATTTATGTCAGTGTTATGTCCACACACTCACAGATCTTAAAAAATAGCATATTAAAATAGCATAAATAAAAGGCAATGCAGTTTCTTTTGGAAATATCACCTCTTTATTGATGCTCTGGCACAGAAAGAGGGAGTGATGTAAATACTTACACCAATTCTGTGCCACAAAGAAGATCACTGTTACACCACGGTGATTCTTCCCAAACTTGTTGTGTAAGTCTGTTCAGTTTTCTCTGTCTATACCCTATCTGCAAATATCCAAACCAACCCACAGCACTAGGTATGTACCTGTCAGCAGGGAGCTTTTCCTTTTCACACTGCAGCACAAAAACACATTTAGAAAGGAAAAGAATGCATACATACATTTAGCTCTTTGCTCATCACTGATGACAGAACCCGCATGTTTGGTTACAGCCCAGTTCCACAGGCTTATGGCACCCTCTTCAATCTGAGAAAGAGAATTCCATTCCATTCAATTTTGTCCTAGGTTTGGATTAAATTGAAATTTACTCCTGACAAAGCTACTATCTTTCATGTTAACCACAACTACAAGTTTGGACTATTCTTTTTTACAGGCTGGGTACTCCAAGAGACTGGAAAGCAGTTGGCAGGAATCACACATGCTTTTCACAAGCACATTTTATAACATATTCTCAGTCTTCTAAAGACTATTTCCCATCTTCTGAAAATTTGAGAGTATCTCTGAGATGACAAAGGTAGGAAAGAACATGACCTGAAACTAAAAAGAGCTAATCAATCATAAGATCAATAGCAGCAAGCACATATCTGCCATGTCATCCATCAGTGCCTTCAGCTCCCATTTAAAGTTACACAAAACAACAAATTCTTTTTGAGAAGTGGTGGACTTCAGAAACATTCAAATATGTTCCTAAACAAATCCCATTAATCTGTTGTATTGCTGAAATAGCCTAGCATATGTTTCTGTCAAGTCCTTTTCCAAGCCTAGCAAAACATGACCTGATTTACCCTACCCATCTGGGATGAAGTTTTCTCACAAGCATTCATACATACAAAATTTGTGCAACAGCACATCACCACATCCAAAACACAACTGATTCACCGGCAGCTTTCAGAGTTCATCATGTACCTTTTAAACAGATGTTGCAGAAGGGACTGGAAAAGAGCTGTGAGAATTGTATCGGATTTGAAAACGCATCTGTAGGACTTTAACTCTTTGGCCTGTATTCATAGAATAGTTGGAGGTGGAAGGGACCCTGAAAGGCCATCTGGTCCAACTGCCTGCACTGAGCAAGGACACTCACAGCTCTATCAGTGCTCAGAGCCTCATCCAGCCTGACCTTGAGTGCTGCAGGGATGGGACACCACCACCTCTCTGGGCACCCTGTGTCACTGCCTTACCACCCCTATTGTAAAAAACATCTCCCCTATATCCAACCTAAATCTCCCTTCTTTTAGTTTGAAACCATTTCCCCTCATCCTATCACAACAGACCCTGCTATGCAGTCTGTCCCCTCCTTCCTTACAGCCCCTGTAGATACCAGGCTGCTCTCAGCCTTCCCTGCAGCCTTCCCTTCTCCATGCTGCACAGCTTGTCCTCACAGGGAGGCGTTCCATTCCCGGCATCACTTTTGTGGCTCTCCTCTGGACACGCTCCAACAAGCCAACGATATTAAGTAGCTTAATTATTTTAAGTACCCACACAGAGAAACTTCTGATCTTATCAGATAAAAGAACAAAAGCTACTGACTAGAAACTCTTGTTAAAAGATGATGCAGCCTTGCATAAAGGCAATAAGATCTGTTAAGAACGCATTCCAGAGGGCTGTGGATTTTCCATCAGTCATAGCTTATAGAAGACATGCCTACAAGCAGGCGGCTGGAAACACCCCAGAATGTGACACACAGCACCCCATCCTGGACGGATCACAGCCTCACAGAGAGGGCATGGCTCGGAATCAACGCGCTGAGTTCTCTCATTAAACACAACGCTTCGTATTGCATTCAGGCCACTGGGTTAAAAGATGAGAACACCGAACTGAGCGCCCCAGGCACAGGGAAGGAGAGGCGGCGCTCAGCGCTGTACCTCCGCCGCGCCGCCGTCCGCCTCGCTGAGGGCCCCCGCCGCCCGGAACAGCTCCTCAATGAGGGCCGCCATGCGGGGCGGGGTCTCCTCAACCAGCAGCTCGCGGAGCAGCTCTGGAAGACAAACCGGGAAGGGAGCAGTCAGAGGGTGTGTCAGGGAACGGCTACGCAGCCGCACCTCCCGGGCGGGAATGGAGAACGGACGCTACCTCCCGCCGCGCCCGCCATGGCTGACACCGCCCCTCAGCCCTGAGGAGAGCGGCGGAACCGCAAAGCGCATGCGCGTCTCCAGCCGCGCCACGCCGCGCTGCATGCCGGGAGAGGAGCAGATCGCGGTGATTGGCTGCTCGGCTCGATCGCCCCGCCTTTTCGCCCCGCCTGGCCAATCAGACGGCGCGGCGGTTGGCCTGTCCGTTAGTCCGCTGTCCTGTGGGCGCCGCGCCGGTTCTGGAAGGATCCCGGGAGCACGGCCCTGCCGGGCGCGGGAGAGATGTCGGGGCTGCTTCACACCACGCTGAGCGGGCTCAACAGCGACTCCTACTGCGAGATCAGCCGTTACCGAGACCAGCACTTCCGGGTGCGCGCGGGGCGGGGGCGGCGGGGCCTGGCCGGGCCGGGGGCTGCGGACGGGGCGGGGCCGTGAGGGTGTGAGCCCGGTGGGGGTGTGAGCCCGCCCTGTGCTCGGCTTTGCCCTCAGGGGAGCAAAAAGCTGCAGGAGAAGTTCCTGAAGATCTCCTCTACGCTGTATGTGGGCAACCTGTCCTTCTACACCACCGAGGAGCAGATCCAGGAGCTCTTCTCCAAGTGCGGCGATGTGAAGAGGATCGTCATGGGGCTGGACAAGATCAAGAAAACACCCTGCGGCTTCTGCTTTGTGGAGTATCCTTTCTGATCCCTATTTGCAGTAAGCTCAGCTGTCACAAGCCCTGAAAGGTGTGAAACTCACAGGGCTTCCTTCCAGGCACGTTGCTGCCTGCATTCCCACCACCACCCAAACCGTACTGTGTTGCCATGGTTGTGAAAGTCGTGCGTGGATGCTGAGCCTTTGCATGGCCCAAGCTAAGGGCACGTGTTCACGTTCTCACCTTGGCTTCACACCTGCAGAACCAGCAGAGCGATCCATGGCACTGCTCCCATGCACAGGGAATGCGTTTGTGCACGTTGTGCTGTGAGCTGTCCCCGCAGAGCTCTCCTGTGAGGCCAGTGCCTCCTGCTCAAATTCAGTTGAGTTTAATATCACATAAAAAAGCATCAGATTTCTTGCCTTTAGCAAGGTTTTAACAATTTGTTTTATCTGCTTGTGAAATAAGTGATCCAAAGCTATTTCTTGTCTGTGCAGGTACTAACATTACAGTCAGAACCTGAGGAAGGAGTGGGAGCTATTTTCAGCTTGGATTTATACGAGTGCAGCTTTTTGATCCCATAGAAAAGAGCAGGAAAATTAGCAAAGGCTGGAAGGCGGGGAAGGCTCTTCTTCTTAAGTACAATGGTTTATTATTGTTTTTTTTTTTTCCCTGCAGCCAACAAAATAGCACGTTTAGTTCTCCTTATAGTGTGTTTCAGATATTACACGAGAGCAGATGCTGAACACGCAATGCGATTTATCAATGGCACGCGGCTCGACGACCGCATCGTTCGGACAGACTGGGATGCAGGATTCAAGGAGGGACGGCAGTATGGAAGAGGAAAGACTGGTGGGCAGGTAAAGGCAATACCAGTTCAGACCTTGAATGCAATCCCCCTAGAGCAGTGCTGTTTTGCTTGTTTTGTTTCATGCAGAACAAAGTGCAGATGGTAAGGACCCAGCAATGAATTTTAGGTGATTTTGGTAGCCAGTGCTACCTTGGTATTAAGAGCTGGAAGTGTAACTATGGTTACAGCTGGACAGAATTTCACAATTCCTGACGCTACAAGCAGAATTTTCCTTGTTCCAGGCTAGCACTCTTTAAATGATGCAGAATTTGAATGGAGAGGGAGCGCAACTTCTAGATCAATCTAATGATCCATCAGTTTGCCCTGTGAGAAGCTAGATTTCCCTTGCAGATTTCTGGTGGGATGGGGAAGGGAGAAATGCTTTGGAAGCCAAGCCTAGCAATTCAGAAAGTTGGAAGCTGGATGACAAAGCTGAATCAGAATATTTTGGGATCTTTGCTTCCCCTCTAAAAAATCATCATCCAGCAGATAGATCTTCATTTGTCACTTGCACCATCTGTCTGGTGGATTGTTCGAAGGGATTTCAAATTGAGTCAAACTACTTCTCACCTGAACTTCATTTCTCAACCTACTGAGCAAGGAAATGGTGACAACTGTGAAGCCTAGCATGATGCTAATGCCTGTGTTACTGCCTTGCTCCAGGTGCGAGACGAATACCGGACAGACTACGATGTGGGAAGAGGTGGTTTTGGCAAGATTATACAGATGCAGAAGGCAAATCAACAGCCTGCAGTCTATTAATTGTCTCATGGGTTTTAGCTCATAGAGGGCTCTGTTCTTGAGCTAGCCATGTTCTCGCGTTTTGGATTGGGGTAGGGAGTGAGATCCAAGTTCCAGCAAAAGGTGACCCTCCTTAGACTGTGGATATACATGTGTTCATTCCCCCTTTCTTCTGGGTTAGAGAGGATGTTCTGTGCTGATACAGGGCAACAAGGGAAACAAATGGACAACTCTGCAGGATTCTGGTTAGAAGAAATGCAGCATGTCACACGCACCTCATGCTAGGATGTACTCTTTGCATTACAGCTAAGTGGTTGGCTTCTTCCAAGCCATGATTGCAGCTGTGGTTGCTCTCAGATAAAACTTTGTGAACTGTGCCACTGTTGGAGCCCTCTGGGTGCCCGGGCACCTTGTTGGGATGCACAGAAGTTTCAGAGTTCTAACTTACAAGCTCATCTGCTTACAAAGCAGTTTCACTATTTGGATGAGAGAAGCTGAGCAAGGTCTCGCTGTCCACTTGGAGGTGCTTGCCTGTACATCTCGCCCTTGGGTTGGTCATGGCCTGCAGAGCCTTTCTCTTATGATGCCCCAGTGCTGCCTGCTTTTTCAGATCCTCACTGTTCGGCATGATTTTGTTAAAAGTTTCTTTCAATTTTTTAAATAAACAGTGAGTCCTGTGCCTGTTGCAATCTGTTCATCAAAATCTCTGGCTCTATGACAAGAGCTGAAGGGAACATTTCCTGATGGTATTTTAAAGTTGCTGTCACTTGCAAACAAAATGGAGGGCATACTAAAGGAGGGCACAAATCTTGCTGTATTTCTGTTGGCTTCCCTCTTACTACTGGCTTTTCCTCTTCTGCTTTGCAATAGCTGATGGCTGATATCAGAGGGAAACTGCTTATAAAGTGTACAACTGCTCTGAATAAGAAATCCTTACCAACAGATTCCGGGAAAACTTTTGATCTTGTTAATTGTTCCACAGTGTGAGACATATATGAAGCAACACAAAAGTGTAATGTGCATTTCAGAGAAGAAGGAACAAGAAACTCCCTCCCCTGTGTTCATGATAGACTTTCTTCCCCATTTAAGAGAAGCATGGCTGATACTCTTAAATTTTTCCTACATCCATACAAGGGACCCGAGAAGATTAAAACCCCCACTGATCTGTCCCCCCATACCTCCCAGCCAGGGTTAGTGATTTCATTGGACAAATTAAATTCTGACTAATTTGGTTTAGTATGATGTAAATAATAGTAGCTGCTCCTTGTCCAGTAGTATGTAATCATGATTTTTCATGCGCTGTCTCATCCAAGATAATACATACTGTTCTGTTGCACACCCATGTGTAGACCAGGCATTGTAATTTAAATTATTTTAACTCTCACAGCTGAGGAAGATGGGATGGTAGCATTAATGTCTTGAAATGTTTCCTACTTGCTTGTTTTGCAAGTCAGGTTGCTACATTCTGACAGCTGTCACAAGTCTTGAAGGAGCTGCATGTTTAGACCTCACCTGACTGAAGAAATGACAGAGTTGACAAGCCTGTGATACGAGCTGCCCCCTGAGATGCAGTGAAAAGGAGCTGGATGTTGAATTTAAAGGGAAAAATCTAAGCAGTTGTCTGCCCAGCCTGGCAAAGCAGCATCACATGAGGTCCTTTGGGGAGGTATGGATTACACAGAAAAATTACTTGGGCAAACAGCTAGCAGAAGGGGAGATGTGAGGAAAAACAGGGAAATCTGCTGTGAAACTCTACTAGTAGCAACAGAATCTCATTTATATGAGGTAGGGAAACAAGGCAAGCTCTCAGTTTGCCCCTGATATGGCCTGTTGGTCATGTAATTCCTATGTGTGTGATAGAACATGTAGAAATCTGTTTAGTCGAGCACCTGCGTGGGCTGTTTCATGACTGTGGCAGGCATGTCTGTCCCTGCTTCTCAAGATACTGCAATTTCTTCTCTGCACAGGTCTGCATGTCCTGCTCATCTCTGCCTGGAGGGAGAGTACCTCCCTCCTTCAGCAGGTCCCAGACCAGTGTTGGCAAGCTGTGCACCATTCCCTTTTCAGCATAACATTTGCAAAGAGATTTGTGCTGACATTTATTCAAATACATGTATTTGTTTAAAAGAATCCATCTCAAATACTACAGCTGCAGTAAATGCCTTTCTTCTAAAGCCACCCATCCCACAGAGAATTAAAGAGAGATGAGAAGGTTTACAAGTAAGTAGGCAATCCTAGCTCTTAGCCTGTGCTGCAGCATGTAGGTACCTACATGGCACCACACTGCATCAGTCAGAAGAACATCCCTTGCCAGGGGTGTGATCAAAGACCAGCGCTGCCAGCATGCTGGAGGAGCCCCCCCTGCCCTGGCTGCGCTCCTTGCTGGAGCACTGTGCCCAAAAACCGCAGGCTCCAGGGTTGCTTTTCAGGCATCTTTCATCAGTCACACAAAGGCGCTGTTAGAAGAAAAAGTCCTTTGTCCTCACAGAACTGGGGCAGTGCCGAGCAGGGCAGCACAGCCAGCAAACCGAGACACCTGAAGTGACCCAAGGGAAACAGTGCAGCTGGGAAACAGGCATGCAGTGACTGACTCTAAGAGCTGCTAGCAGTTAACCTGCTGCTGGTAGCAGCCCAGACCTGACTCTCTAGCAAAGAAGTCCGATGCTGAGTTCACCAAAAGAGCTTACACACTCTTCAGGCTTAGCTGGGTCTCTCCACTGGATCCTATGTGTGTAGCAGAGACCCTGTCACTCCAGGATAGAATTAAGTTTAGCAGCGGAGCAGTTCTGGCAGGCAATGCTCCTCCTCACACTCATTCTCACTCACAAACACCACACTCAGAGCTGTCTGCACTGGGGAGAAGAGGAGGAAGGCTCCAGTTCTCATTCATTTTGGCAGCTTTTATAGTCCCCTCTGATCCAATAACAAATCTGAGCAAACTTGGGAGCAGTCAGGCGAACAGCAACGTTATAGTCGTGCTGCTCCCCCCCTACTTCCAGCCACTGATGCCCAGAGAAGATGCCGATCACCTTCCTCTCCCACTTGTGCTGCACGGGATCCCACACCTTGCCATACACCCCAGAGCCGGATGCGCCAGGCCTGGCATCACAGTGCTGGTAGATGAGGTGTGCCGTCTCATCCTCCACCCCACAGAAGCGGTACACCAGCTCTCCTGGCCGGTCACTGTCAAACCCTGAGAAATGAATCCTCTTCCCAGCCATTTCCTCCGCTGCCGGAGCCACCGTCAGCTCCATGTGCAGGCGCCGGTGTGGTTTGCGCAGCTCCAAAAGGGCGTAATCATAGTCCATGCTGAGCGAGTTGAGGCTCTGGATCCAACCCTTGGGCACCTGCGTGCGCCGCACACGAGCCCAGCGCATCACCGGCCTCCCCGTGCCATTGGCTGGCGTCAGGAAGCCCACCTTGATCTTCTTGGCACCCTTCACATAGTCTCGGCCATCGTGGACGCAGTGGGCAGCCGTGAGGACGTGCTGCTCAGACACCAGCACCCCCGTGCACCCCGTGGAGATCTTAACCGTGGTGGAGAAGGGATAGTCCATCAGGAAGTGGTTCCCACTGATGGAAAACCGCCCATCCGTGCCGTAAATCTGTCGCTTGCGCCGCGTGCGCCTCCTCGGCCACCTCCTCTCTGTGCTGCCCTCACTGGGGCTCAGCTCCACCGTGGTGAGAGTGCGGGTGCCGTTGGCGTACAGTGTCTCATAAAAGAGGTACTCCTGGAAGTCCTGGGGGAGCAGGACGGCCTCCCTCCGGACACACGCCTGGTCACAGCGTGTAGCCAACTCCAGCATGGGCCGTGCCGAGAACCGCGCTCTGCCCAGCTGCACCGTGGACCGAGGAACGAGGGTGGGAAGCGAACTCCCAGCTGCGGTCCTGGGAAGGAAGGAAAGCAGGAGGATGGCAACCACCTGGCAGCGAGTCATCTTTCCAGACCTGCAAAGGCAAAGCAAGGAGACCATTAAGCCTGCCCGATTAGAGCCAGCCACCTGCTGCGGCTCACGGCTCCAGGATTATCACATGCACGTGGCCCCTCACCAGCTGCTGGGTCGTGCATGCTTAAGCTGCTGCCTGGAGCTGTGTGACTAACTAGAGATGATAGAAATCTACCCCAGCCTTTGATCTCCTGCAGCTCTTTTGGATGGCAATGCCCGGCGGTGCTGCAGGAGTACTGCAGGAATACCACGAGTGGATGAGTTTCCTCCGTCACACCACAAGTCCTGCTGTTCTGACGTGGATCCCCTGGATTCCAGGGCTCAGCCCCACCAACACCGCACGTCCCACCCAGCAGCTGCAGCACCCGGTGACCCGCGAGGAGGATGAGGAGGTGTGACAGTACCTGCTGCCTGCAGAGGGAGACGACAGCTCTGTCCCACTGTTCCTACATAGGAGAGGAAGGTGCATGAGCTCGAGGGCTACACCTCAGTTGAAGTATTTGGTGTCACAGTGCGGCGAGGACAAGGCAGCCTGTGTTAACTCCAAGGTGGATTGCTGCACCCCATCTAAAACTCAATCTGCCATCGCTTTTCCATGTGCCAGGGCCACCCCTTGTCCATGGGGCAGGTTCTACAGCTCCCTGCACTGCTTAGCCCTCTTTTCCCATCCTGCCCTCAGCGTACTGACTTGGACATATCAGCTGGAGCACAGGATGAGCCCCGTGTCCCCCAAGGCAGCCGGGGTCTGTGCAGACACGTGGCAGCACGCTGGGTTATGAAAGTCGCAGGAGAGTGGGGGTGGAGCCTTGCAGGGAGGCTGAGAGCCACAAGTTCTGCTCTCCACACCCTGACCCCTCGTGCTGCAGCTGGGCCTCATCCCTGATTTCCCCATCCACTGCCCCTGCAGGGCTCATCCAGCAGTGCCGTGCTCCAGGGAAGCCCCACGGCTGTCCCTAGCATTAATGAGCCAAGGTTCATCCCTTCACCCAAAAAGGAGCATCTCCGCAGCTCCCCTCCATGTGATGGAGCACCATGTCCCTATAGAAGGATCTCAGTCCCTATAGAAGGATCTCATCCGGCGAGGCAGCAGTTAAAGCAGTGGGAGCAGCACAGGCATTTCCCTGGGGCCTTCAGCTTGCACAGGCTCCCGGGCCTCACCGCTGCCTCCCCAGCGATCTGCTGGCTGGATAAGGAGGCGGAAGTCTGTTTCATGATGCCCTGGGGATGGAACAGCATTGCCCATGTGAGCGAGCGTGGGCACTGCCGTGCTCATGGACACGCATGTGGATGTGGGGTGCAGTGGGGTGACAGCCCCTCTCCTCCCCGCAGAGCCCTGGGGCTGAGCCATGGGGCCCTCCCTGCTGGCCGAGCGCTGACCCTGCTCTGCTGCCAGGAAACGCCAAACCCACGTAAGATCCATCTGCCCTAAATTAGTTTATTTATTTCACAAAATAATCTGTCAGGGCTGATTGAGACCAGACCGGAATCTGGGAAATCGTCTTCGGCCCAGTTCCTGGCTGTGCCTCCCCCACAGGCTCAGTGGGAGCCCCAGGGGCTATTTCTGAGGTCTTTACAGCAGCACTGGGACATGATGACACACTGCCATGTGGCACAGGGCCCAGCCCACTGCTATCGCACACCCCAGTACCAGGAGCAGGGGACTGGGTGCCCCACTGCACTGCTTCCCATCAGCATGTGACCATAGACACACAAGGACAGGCCCACCCCCCAGCCCAGGCTGCAGGACACAGGCATTGAAGTGAGATGCAGCTGGACCAACAGAGCCAAGCAGTTAAAAAAAAAAAAAAAACACAAACCATTTAGACTTCAATAAGTATAAAAATCAACACCGAAATCCCAATTGTACGAAGGCATACAAGGTTGGACACTCATGTCTACACTGCAGACATCATCACAAGGAGCTGAGTGTGATGTTCACACCAAGCGAATGGGTCCAGCAGCACAGGGCTCAGCACGGGCATGGGATTGTATTGGGGCTGCGGGTGCTGAGCCCTGTGCTGCTGCAGGGCACTGGGCAGTACCAGGACTGGTCAACTTCAGTAACACTTGCATTGACACAAATACAACAGTACCACCACATGGAGTGTCCCGTGGGCAGGAGAAGCAGGATGTGACAGCAGCTTTCACACTGGGAGGGCCGTATCAGTGTCATTGCCCCTCGGCGGGGTGGAGCAGCCCCCAGGCCACCAGCATCCCCCCAGCCCGGGGTCTCCTCTCCACGACCCCTGCTCAGCGAGGGGAAAAGGCAGCGCACGGCAGTCTCTGGGCTCAGGCCCCATGGGATGGCTGTGCTGAGCAGTCTGTGGTCTCATTCCAGCACTGCAGTACTGACAGCTCTCCGAGTAGTGATGTTGATCACAACCACCGCCTCTCTCAGATTGCAGCAGCTCCAGGGCTGAGCTCCATCCCAGGGTGGTGTAGAGGGTTTTCTGTCGTTGAACCTCGAAGCTCTTTTGCATTTTTCCCTTCCACACTGTTCCGAATGCCATAGCCAAAGTATATCATAAAACCTGCAAAAGTTCATGCGATGAGACACGTGGCAGGGAACGACCTCCACGGGCCACCAACAGACAGAAGCTGGAGAAGTGAGATAGCCACAAGGCTCAGGGCACCACGCTGCCCTCTGGAATGCTTACCCACAGCCATCCAGATGGCAAAGCGCACCCAGGTGCCGGTACTCAGCTGCACCATCAGCAGGATGTTAACAAAGATGCTGCAGAGCGGAAGGAGTGGGAGGAAAGGTACCTGCGAGAGACGAGACGTGCCATCTTAGCCATGCCCAAGGGACCTGGCTAGGCTAAGGAATGCTCTGCCACCTGGGTGTTTCCATTCCAGGGGCAGTGCCTTAGAGCCATGTCTCTGGGCTCTGGACATTACTGGAAGCTCAGCAGCCAGCCCAGCAGATCCTGCACCAGCCTTGGGTGCAGAGAGGTGCAGAGCTCTTGGAGGCTGCACTCACCTTAAAGTTCAGCCGCGCATTGCTCTGTGGCTGCCTCCAAATGATGATGGTGGGGATGAGCAGAGCCACGAGGAGCAGCACCAGGACCAAGATCCAGGCAACGTTGGCCTCCTTCAATGCCTTCACCTTGAGGGTCAGCACCACGCAGATGACCGTTACCAGCACAGCTGCAAGAAGTTACCATCACCATGCTGCACGGCATGTGGCTGTATCGACCTCCCTGCCACCCTGTGGCCTGCTGGGCTGAGCCACCCCCTCCTCCTGGTCACGTACAGGTCCTCCAACGCCCATCTCAAGGCCTTGGAGAAGCACTTCACCAGGAGGAACTCGTCAGCCTAGCAAGCAGAGTGAAGCCTGTGCTCAACTAGGCTCAAACCCAGTTCTGACGCTTCCCCAGACCTCACTGGGCTGCCCTGCTCTCCCCGCACAATGAAACCATTGATCAAAGCTCCCCAGGTCTGCAGGGACCAACACGCCCCAGCCCCTGGCACAGCAATGAGCCAGCGATGTGGCAGGACATGCAGGAGCCGCTGCCTCCCACTCACTCACCCATGATTGAGACGCAGACATAGACGATGCGCCCTGAGAGCGCTGTGGGAGTGTCTGCAGATGGATTGAAGAGTGCTGTAAGGGACAGCGTCTCCTTCTGTTTGGTGCCCGTGGCAGCGATGTTTGGGTTCATGACAACTCTCTCCTCCTCATTCCCGTTCAGCTCCAGCATCTCCATGGCCTTTGGGGAGTTCAGTTGCCCAGACTGGTACCTGCACACAGCAGACCTGCTCAGTGCTGCACAAACTACAGCAAAGTATGAGGAAGTTCCAACCCCAGGGATACAATTAGCACCCATCGTTCCCCTCCTGCTCCCTCAGCCCCCTGCTGGGAAGCAGCAGTCCCATGGATGGCACAGCTGCACAGGGAGTGGTGGGGTCACCATCCCTGGAGGTGTTCCAGAACCATGGAAATGTGGCACTGAGGGACACGGTGATGGGCATGGCGGGGTGGGTTGGGATTGGACTTGGGAATCTTAGCTTTCTTTTTCAACCTCAATGATTTTGTGCCTGGATGCCCCAAGCAGCCTTTATTTCATGGCTTGAGCTGTGGCCACAAGCCCCACGCTGTCTACAAGGTGCATCCACCCAAGGGACTGTGGTGAAGGGACATCTGGCATAAGGGGTGGCACCCACCTGAGGATGAGCACACACACAGCGACCAGGGAGTAAGCCAGCAGTGTGCCGATCGACATGAGGTCCACCAGGTCTTTCAGGTCAAGCAGGAAGGCCAACACCGCTGCAATGAGGATGGAAAGCATGAGCACAGCGTAGGGCTGCAGGGAGACTGAGAGCAAGATGGCCACAAGGAGTGTTACCTGCGAGCAGCCCTGAGGTGATGGTGGCCGAGAGAGGAGTCTTGGTGCGGCTGTTGATTTTGGAGAGGAACTTGAAGAGCAGCCCATCCTCCGCCATGGCGTAGATCACACGTGGCATGGGAAACATGGAGCCCAGCAAGCTGCCGTGGGGAGAAGTGGCTGAGGGCTGGCCAGAGGGCCAGCAGTCACAGGGAAAAGGAACTGGCTTGTGCCGGGGGAAGGACGGCAGTCACACAGGGCAAAGCCTGGGACAGGTATCCCCAGCCCTGTGTCAGGCCGGGTGATACCACAAAGACAAGTTGGAACCTACCTGGTGGAGAGAGCGCAGAGCGAGCCAATGGCAACGGCATAGCGGGCGGGCTCCCAGCCCACCGCCTTGAAAGCCTCGGGCAGCGGGCTCTTCTTGTTCAGCAGGAAGTAGGGAACCATCAGCGTGAGGGCCGCGGAGACCCCGAAATAGGCCACGAAGCAGATGAGGAGGGACACAATGATGCCAATGGGGATGGAGCGCTGCGGGTTCCTGGCTTCCTCCCCTGTGTGGAGGAAAGAGGCAGAGTCCGTCCCCATCCATACTTGCGGCCGTGCCCAGCCCCACACCCCAGCCTGCAGCTCCTGGTAAATCCAGCTCTCTGCATAAGCACTGGTGTAGCGATGCAGCAATGCACCCACGGTGCCCTCTCTCCTGAGCTTTTGCTCCTTGCAGCACTGCACTCCCTACCAGAGGCTTTGCAGCCAGCGGAGGAAGCTGCAGGGAGGCACAGAGGCCGTGCAGAACAGCCTGTACCAGCAACCTGCTGAGCAGAGTCCTGGGGGAAGGAGAGGAAATGAAGAAGGCTCCCCGCACACCAGAACAACTAAGTTCACGCAGAACCGACATTTTAAGAAAAAATCTAATATTGCTCGAGGCCAGGAAATAAGCAGAAGCAGCAGCAATTCCCAGCACTCGGCTCTGCAGCTGGAAGGCTCCCTGCAGCCCTGTTCTCACCACACCTCGCAGGGAGCCTTTGATATGGGCAGCAGAGGGGCTTTGTGCAGTGCAGCTGGGGACGGGCCGTTCCCACAGCAGCAGGAGCACCGTGCTCCTCCCAGAGCAGCTCCAGCAGCTGCCCCGCTCCAGGCATTCTCTACCTGTGGTGGCGATGCAGTCAAAACCCACGAAGGCGTAGAAACACGTGGCAGCACCCATCAGGACCCCTTCCAGCTTAAAGGGGACAAACCCACCGGAACCGAAGGTGTTTATTCTGGAAGAAGAGAGGACAGGAGTTGGGGCATCGACACACAACACGGTACCAGCCCTGTGCCACACTGTGCTGGCCAGACTCCATCGTGGCACACTCATCATCCTCACCTGACCTCTTCTGGCTCATCTGAGTGCGTGAGGTTGATGTAATCCTCCACTGTGAGCTGCCAGTTCTTGATGTCTCCCTTGATGCAGCCGGCGATGAAGACGAAGGCCAACACCAGCAGGTTCACCGCCGTGAAGATTTTGTTCACCAGGGCGGATTCGCTGACGCCGAAGGTCAGCAGTGCTGGGGATCGAGGGGTGAACAGGCTGCACCCGCACTGCATCACCGCGGTGCCGCCGAGCCGCTCCGACACTCACCAGTGAGCAACGCGATCAGGATCAACGCGAAGAAGTCCGGGCGCTCGGCCAGCACCCCTGGCAGGTGCAGCGTGGTCTTGTTCATGAAGAAGGTGGAGATTTGGTTGCCGATGATGTTGTCGAATGACGCGCTCCAGGCTCGGGCCACGCTGGCTGTGCCTGGCCAACAGCAAAGCTGCTTATCGGTCCGAGCCCTGCACACAAGTGCCAAGGCAGAGCAGCACCAACCCCATCACGCAGCCATGCGGATCCCCAAAGCACCCAGCTTGCACCCCGCTCCCATGCCCCGCTATGGTGCTGCTCACCGGGGCGCGTGCCAGCCCCGCACTTCCCAGCCCCATCCAGCAGAGCCATGTACCTATCACGTAGGACAGGATGAGGTTCCAGCCGGTGGTGAAAGCCCAGATCTCACCAACCGTGACGTAGCTGTAGAGGTAGGCAGAGCCAGTCTTGGGGACGCGGGCTCCAAACTCTGCATAGCAGAGCCCGGCCAGTATCGATGACAGCGCGGCCACCAGGAAGCAGAGGACGATGGACGGACCAGCTGTATCCTTGGCCACTTCCCCCGTCAGCACGTACACACCAGCACCCAGCGTGCTGCCCACCCCCAGGGCGATGAGGTCCAGCGTGGAGAGGCAGCGAGCAAAGCGCGTCTCCTCGGAGCTCAGATCCACCACGCGCCGGCGGATCAGCTTCTTCCCCAGGCTGCTCATTTTTCCCCCGAACATTTTGTCCTTTCACTGCTCAGAAGCCCTGCAAGAGAAGTTGTTGTAGCAGCGTGAAACTCAGCGTCCCTCATGGAGCTGAATCCACGCAGCAATGCCACTGCCACCCCATGGGAGCAGCAGTCCCTTGGCTGACCCGTCGGCATAGAGCCCCAGGCACATCACTGGGATGGAGACCAGCAGTGCAGGGCTGCACACCCACCTGCACAACCCCTGCACCAGGAAAACGAGCCGGAGACAAACCCAGCACAAGTCCACAGCACAAAATGGGCTCCTTAAACAAACACTGTGTGGTCCCAGCCCCGAGGGCCTGGCACATCCCAGAGCTTGCCCCGCTGTCTTTGAGCAACTCTCCACGTTTGGCACACAGAGATCCCTCGGCCCAAACTTGACTGCTTGGCACAACCCTCCCAATGAGGTGCGTGTGGGTGTGCGCAGAAGCAAAGGTAGGGAGACCAAACGTGCTGGGCTGAGTCACACAAACACATTCGTTCCTCCCAACATCAGCACTGCACCCTCGCTGGGGATGCATGGCCAGACACGCAGTGAGCACAGTGCAAGGCTCCCAGCACGCATCCCCTGCATGCACACAGCCCCAGGGCCGTGCATGGTGTCAGTGTGCCACCCCCAGCCCCACACTCAGCTATCCCCAAAAACACTCTGGATCCTGAGCATCCCGTGGAGCTGCCCGTGAGGAATGGGCACAGAGTGAGAGATACGGCTCTGAGCAAACTGATCTGATGTTGGCAACCCTGCACGTAGCAGGGGGGGGTTAAAACCAGACGATCATCGTGGTCCTTTTCAACCCAGGCCGTTCTGTAGTTCTATAATTCTATTCTATGCCCACGTCGACAGAATCACGGGGTTTGGGGAGGACGTGTGGGGGTCACGGAGTCCCGGCCCTAACGCAGGTTCCTACAGCACGTTGTACAGGCGGGTCCCGAACATCCCCAGCTCAGGAGCTGCCCGCACGCTACCGGAGCTGCTCGCCTGTCGGTACGGAACTTCCTCGTCCCATCTCCCCGCGCGGAGCGGCACAGAAAGCGCGGGAAGGCGCGGGGCAGGAAGCGCGGAGCGCGCCTCAACCGCGCCGTTCGGACGGGCGCGCAGCAACCCGCACCGGCACCGACGGCAGCTCGTCCTCCTCCGCACCGCGTGGCTGATGGAAGCGGCACCGGCTGTGCTCGGAAAACGCCCGGCCCGCAGCGACTCACCGGCACGGTTCGGTTCGGGTCTCGCCGCGTTCCGCCCCGGCTCCGCCGTCTGCACGGTCGGGGAGCAGAGCGGTTCCTCCCGCTGTGAGCGCCGAGCCGAGCCGAGATCCGAGCCGAGATCCAGCCCTCCTCCCCTCCTGAGCCGGCTTCCCGCCGCGCCCCGCCCCGGCACCGCCCTCGGGCTGGGAGGTGAAGCCCGCCCCGTCCATTCATCTCGGCCCGCACGGAGCCGGCCGGCGCCAACATCACGGCCAGTCCGTCCTGCCTGCAGCGATCCCTCCAAAATCGCAGATTTGGAGAAGGAAGAAAAAAAAAAAAAAAAAAAGACGGGACCGGGATCCCTGCGATGCTCCGGAGCGCCCCGAACCCGAAGCAAAGGGGAAACGCAGAGCGGCAGCAGTGCGGTGCTACCCCACGAATGGCCACGTCGGGGGTGGCTGAGGTCTCTCAGAGCCCCACGTGCCCTGGGGCCGCTCGGGGCCGTGGGGCACAGTTCGGCCCGGCGGCCACGTGCTGTGCGGGCAATGGGTGCCGGGCTGCGCGCACCGCTCCTCTGCCGGCACACAGCGGAGAAACGGCCAGCAACAGGCGGTGCGGGGACGGGGAAGAACCACCGCCGGAGAACTGCTGGGAGCTACGCCGCTTTTTCCTTACGGCAGCAGCGAGGCACCCAGCAGCCCTCCCTCCCCCTCCCCCCGCACCCCGGAAAGCTCTCCTGATGCAATAGGGCACTGCTGTGTCGTTCGCTCAGCAGCACAGCTAGAAGGCGGCCAGCTCCCCCATGCAGGGCGCTGAGCTCCCGGGGGGGCTCACAGCAGGGCAGGGTGCTGCGGGTCCCGGCAGGTGCCCATCAGCCCCGTCTCGTCCCGAAGGTTGGGGAAACAAAAGGCTGCGTTCGGAAAAAAAAAAACCGTGAGCTCAACGCAATGGAACGGCGAGGCGGCATTTTGGATGTGACGCAGGCGCTGATCTCGCTCTTCCCGCTCAGATGAATGAATGAACTGTGCCCCCCCCCCCCCCCCCCCCGCGCCGCTCCCGTAAGAAAGGAAACGGACTCACTTGTCGGTACGGTCGCCCCGTGCTCGTCCCCTCACTACCGGCACCCGCCGTGCTTCCTGCCCCCCCCTCCGCTCCCCCGGGCTGCCACCGCCACGTGGCACGGCCGCGCTTAAGCCGCGCTCCCTGCGGTGCGTGGGATGGCAGGGGCGGCGGCGGGGCAGCCCCGGCACGGCGCTATGGGGAAATGCCCGGCCCCTGAAATACCCAGACAGTCAGAACCGGGCTGACGCCACTGGGACTCGCCTGTTCCAAGAAATCACTCTACGACAGCAGCTTTCCGGATGATGCTTTCGGGCACGGAGCAGGAGGGGCCCGCCCGCTTGTTTCCGCACCTCCCGTACGGCTCCCGTTCATCCTCACGGTGCCTCATCTTCATCTCATCCAACACAAGGCCCTGTTCCAGCCCCGGGGGTGCAGAGCGAGCCAAGCACACGTCCCAACAGGAGCTGCAGGAAGGCAGGCAGCAGCAGCGCTTGCTTAGCCAGCATGATGTGGGAGCGCAGGCAGCTCCAGGCCAGAAAGGGAAACAAAAGCCCTACAGAAACAGCCCTAAATCAGCCCTTGGAGCCCCATCACCTCCCATGAGCAGAGCAGAGGTGGGAGGCAGAGGACAGCATCCCCAGCAGCTGTCCCGTGAGCAAAGGGACACACAGCCACCCCAGGAAGGGACAGGGGCTGCCTGTGACACTCAGGGGCGGCCAAAAACAGCAGCCAGAGACAAGAGGGAAGCAGGAGCACACCAATCTGCCCGGCCCAGTCCTGGGGTGCTGCCAGCACAATGCTGCAGGGCTCTGCAGGGCCTCACCCAGATGCCATGCAGTCAGATGAGGCACCCACGCCAACCTACCACAGGCAGAAAGCAGCATGGCAGGGCTTGCAGGCAGTGCTTCCCGCAGCCACAGGCAGGAACAGGGAAGAGCTGAGCCCCATGGTCTACTTCTATGCCCTACACACAAACCACCAGCTAAACTGGTAAGAAGCAGCTAACAGCCACAGAAGCCAAATGTGCCATCGGAAAGAACTGACTCTTCTCGCTTCCAGAAAGAACAAGGTTAAGGCAGAAACCTCCCCACACAGCTGCCTCTCACTGCCATGGTGTCACAGCACGTGTCCAAGCATCCTTCTCAGACGTACCTGGACTTGTCCAGAAAGGCCTGCATGCAGCCAGGCTGTGTTTCAGTCCACCATCACCAACCACCTCCTCCTTACATCAGCAGACCCAGATCTGGCCTGGCAGAAGCCTGAGAAAGAGCTGTTCTTTCTGCCCAGCCCCTTGAAGAAGAGCAGGTAGCACAGAGCACTGGCCCTCCAAGAGCAGACAGCAAGCACACTGCAAGAAAACACATTTATTTTGAATACAAGGAGTTAAGAACCAAAGATCCATTTGTGCAAGTGCTCTGTAAATATCACTGGCCCAGCAGCTCAGGTGCCTGGACAAGTCTCTGCCATCTGTCCCATGTGTTGGGGGAAGCTGTCAGTTTCTCTCCGAGATGCTTGGCTTATCCTCTGCAGCATCTTCTGGACAGATTCCTGGGGAACAAGAGCAGCATTCCCAGCACTCAGGCCACAAGCTTTGTCCCTTCCACGCAGCAGCCCTTGGTGACTTGGATACCCAGCAAGGGATCACCAGAGCATCTCTGCAACCTGCGCAGAAGCAAGGGCTCACCCCAGCAAGGGGACATACCTGCTGCTCTGAGCTGAGCCTGCAAGGAGGAGATTGTCTGACAATAGGCTTCACACTTGGCAGCCTTATCAGCTGAGGGAAGGAGGCAAGTCAGTGCATTAAGCCCGAACACATTGCCCTCAGACCTCTTGGGGCAGTAGCAGAGCTCCTGCTCCACCCCCAAACCAACCAGCCCCACATACCTAGCTCCCCTTTCACTCGTTCCAGCTCTTTCTTCACATGCTCCTGGGACAGCTGGCAAGGGCAGGGTGTCAGGGGATGCAGTGACCCATGCAGCAGTCCAGCACAGGTTCTCCAGACCGCACACTGGGACACATCCAAAATGTCAGGATGTATAAAAGTGACCGTGATACAAACCATATGGGAGTGAATGTCTCAAAAGTCCCTTAGAAATTAACTGAGCAGAAGCCTGCAGTGCCCTGAGCACCAACGAGGATGTAAAGCATGCAGCAAAATGCCTTGTGTAAACAGCAGGGAAAGGCTCAGGTGCCAGCTCAGAAACTGGCAGCCCCAGGCACTCCACTGCCTGCCACTTCTGCAGCCCAAGCCCCAGGGTGCAGTGAGTTCATGGGGCAGCACACAGCTGGCTCTTACCTGCGCAGCACAGGCTGCATTCCCACAGCCTGGAGCAGGGCAAGGGTGCAGTGCACTGACATAAGGGGACCCCACACACACCCGCATCTGGTCAGCTTTATCTGTAAAAAGAATTTTCACTAGAAATGTAACTGTCACAGCCACCAGCCTCTCTTCAGTCAGGACATAGAGCTGCTTCAGACAAGCTGCACAGGAGAACAAAAGGCCTTTGAGCCCCTCCAGCTCCACAGCTACTGCTGGCCTGGCCTGGCCTGTTCAGGTGCTGCCCACAGTGGGGAGAAGTGGCTCCCACAAGGGTGCAAGGGGTCAGCCAGCACAGGGGGACACAGAGCTACAGCAAGAGTGACACTCCCCAACAGGAGGGCTGCCAGCTGCCCTGAATGGCTGCCCCTCTCTGTATGCCCCAGGCAAAAGGCATAAAATCCAACAGAACCCAATACATAAATGCAGATTCTTCCCATTATAGTATGATCACAGACAGCTGGTTTTCAGCTGGCCTTTAGCAGCTAGGAAAAATAGTCACAGAACAGCTTGGGTTGGAAGGGACCTTAGACATCACCCAGTTCCACCCTCCTTCATGGACAGGTTTGTCACCCACCAGATCAGGCTGCCCAGGACCCCATCAAACCTGGCCAGGAAAGCTTCAGAGACAGAGACAGGCTGAGCCCAGCAGGCTGCAGGCAAAGGGCTGCATTCCTGCATGGAACCAAGCCTCTGTTCTGCTCATCCACTCCATGGCAATCCATGCTGAAAACAGCCATTCTTTGTTCCCACCATTTTCCATCAGCTCTCGGGTCCTATTGCACACCGGTTCCTGAGAAGTCGATTCTGAAGTACAACCTGGGAAACAAAAATGAAGAGCATCAGGCACTGCTCAGAGAACGCCCAGACAGCAGGCAGAAACCCTGTCCTGAGAGTGACCTAGAGCAGCAGATTTATTCAGGCTCTTTCTTGGTGCCTCTCCAGGGAAAGGAACTCCATGCAGCCTCGCTGCTCTGTGTTTCAGTGCCCTTCATCCGAGCCCACGCACACACTGCCCCCTCCTGTCCTCAGTCAGGATCAGCCTTAGACTCTGAAGCCGAGACCTGAATAACGTCCCCAAAAGGAGCTCCTCTCCTCCCTGCCACAACGCTGGAACCTCGAAGGCTTCTGCCCAGCCCACTCCCCCTTACCTAGGTAAGTGTGCTTGGAGGAAGGTGCCACTTTTCCCGCTGGCTGCAATCGGGAGCGAGAAACCACGGTAGGAATCCCGGTGCGAAGCCTCTGAGGGGGCTGTCTGCGGCCCCCAGCCTTGCCAGCAGCTACAGAAGAACAACATCAGGTCCAGGGACTGCAAGGACTGCAAGGACAGCCGTAAGCCAGCCACACTGCGCCCCTCCTCGGGCAGCTCAGGGCTCTGCCAGGCCCAGCAGCACCAGCATCCGTGGACCCATAAGAGATACTGAGCCAACAGACCCCCGGTCCGTGCTGGCAGGAGGCCGAGCGGTGCCAGCACAGCGCTCACAGCGCAGCCACGTCCCCTGGGCTCCTACTCGCACTGCTGCCACGGACTCCCCACTCCCCACGCTGCAGCCCAGGCCTTCCCCCTTCTCCCTTCTCGATGCAGCACCGACCCTCCGAGATCCCCATCACTGCACAATTACTTTCCATCGCTTTGTCCCGGTGGGGAGGAGCCCTGGTCCCGGCGGACGGCAGAGCCAGCTGCGAGGCTCTGCTGGTGGGATGCTGCAGCCTGGACTTGGCAGCCGGCATCGTCTTCAGCTTGGCACCTGCTGGGGAAGGGAGGAGAGAGGCTGTGCTTCTGCAACCTGACGGCAAAGAGGGCACCGACCTCAGGGCACGGCTCACCTAGGGGCACGGGCAGCTTGGAAGCGGGGACACCGGGCCCCGTGCCAGCCCCTCTGCCAGCCCCTCCGCCAGCCCCCACGGATGCCCGCCGGGCCGGGGACGGCCTTCCAGCAGCGCGGCCCGGGGAGCGGGCAGGGAGGAACTGCCCGACCCTGCGGGGCTGCGGGCGGAAGCGTCCCAAGGCACGGGGCAAAACGAGGCGCCGCGAAGCCCCGCGGGAGCGACCGAGGAAAGCGGATCCGGACGGGCTGCCCGCGGCGGGGGGCGGCGAGGATTTGAGGGGCGTGGAGGTGACTGGACCGGAGCCCGTGAGCAGGCGGGCGGCGATGGTGCGGCACTCATCCTCGAAGAAGCTGCGGTAGAGCGGGGAGAGCGGCGAGCCGCCTCCGTCCCGCTGCGGGTCGGGGCGCTTCGGGGAGCCGCGCCTCAACTCCTGCCGCGACATCGCGCTCTTTCCGCCGCGCGAGCGCCTGGCGGCGGGGAGGCCGCCCGTGCTTCTCCGCGCTGCTCAGCGCCCCCTGCCGCGCGGGAGGCCCTCCCGCTGCCCCACCCCGCACCCCCCCACCCGCCCCGCTGCCCGCAGGACGAGGCGGAGACTTGGCTTCACAGTGGTTTAATGCGAACGGAACCGGGAGGATACACTGGACAGAGTGGGACAGCCGGCTGGGGGCTGCCCCGCAGCGGGACGCGCAGGACGAGGGGACCCTCCCTCCAAGCGGGGGCTGATGGGGACAAAGGACTTCCCGCAGCCACGCGGTCCCCGAGCAGCTCCATCCTGGCTTCGGCCCCTTCTCATCTCTCAGCCCCACCCCTCACCCTCAGCACCAGGCCGTCAGAACACCCAGGGGACACTACGGAGGCCGTAGGGGTGAGCGTGGCAGGGAGCCTGGCAGGGACGGGGGGGGAGCAGCCACCACGGGTCTGGGCTCTGAGAGAGGCTCTACACCCGCCACAACCTGAAGGAGTGCCCACAAAGCTGCCAGCATTGACCTGTGGAGTCCCTGAGCCTCATGAGATACAGCCATGACAGCCAGAGGGGTCTCCAAAGGACAGTTCTGGTGCAGCAAGTTGCTCACAAGCTCTGGACGGTTCCCTGATCAGCCTTGTACCTTCCACACTGTCACTGTCTAGTTCATTGCAAAACGGAGAAAAGACAAAAAATCCATCTGTCCTTATCCTGTTCCGTGCCAACTGATTAACCCAGAACTGACCCAGCAGCTCCTGCTGTCCCTTATTGGAGAGGTGGTGCCACCCTCACGCTGGGCTCCTCTTGCAGCAGCCAGCTGCTGTCACCTGTCACCACCGCTGCACCACAACAGCCACGGCTGCCTCCTGCTCCTCAGCCAGACCCATCTCCCCCTTCTGCAGCTGGGGCACAGGAGGAGGTCACCACAGCCCAGCTGAACTAAAAACGTCAATGCATTTTTAAAGCTCGAGCCCACACTGCGATAGGCCAGGCTCGCCCAGCTTCCACACAGCAACCTGCTCACACACAGCATCAGGAGAGCACACGTCGTGGGAACCCCCCTGAGCTGCCTGCAGCAAGCGAGAAAGGAGAGGGGCTGACACTAACACACCACACGGGTCTGTAATGCAGGAGGCTGAGCGCAGGGTTAGAATAAGTCTTGGGCCTCTGCACTTCCAGACAGTGAAGAATGGGGGTTTCATGCAGGGTGAATGGGGTGGACGAGGGACCAAAACACCCAGGCACCTACTCACTGTTTTGGATAAGCCTTACTAAAACGCTAATACCTGATGCAATCACTGACCAACGTGACAACTGCTATTCTTCAGAGTCTCCTGCAGAGAAGCTTGGGGCTGCATGGACAGGGGAGTGAAGGTCATCTCATACCTTTCTGTACAGGGAGAGAGGCAGCTCCTACACCATAATGCCACAAGCAAGTTCCTGCTCCACACCTATTCACACCTGCCGCTAGGTGTGGGACAACACATTCACTTGCATAAATCTTCATACCTTTAGGCCAAGACCACAGCCCAGAAGAACAAGCTGCTGCCAGTTACAAAAGAGGAAAATACTGAACAAACTGGGAGGTTCAAGAGAGGAAAAGCTGGTTCAGAGAAGACAGATTTAGTGTAAAAATAAATGTCATTTTTGCAGGAGGGAGGGTGGAATGGAGGAAGACAGTGCCAGGTGCTCCTACTGGCGCACTTTCCCTGGGACGTAATTCCTATCGATAGTCTCCTCTTGCAGAAACATGTGTAAGCAGCGCTCGTTCTGTGCCAGCGGGTGCCCAGCAATTCTAGAAGAAAACCAGAGGTAGAGGTTAGCAGAGGCACCATCAGACCCCCGTGCACACATTTTCTGTAGGCGATGAGTGAGGCAGAACTCTCCTCTCATGGGCAGCCAGCAGCTCCCAGCACACCCACACTGGCCTCAGTCCAAGGCCACTGAGTCAGTGTGCAATTGGGTTAGAAAGATGCTCGAGCAGAGAGTTCCCCATCACAGCAGGAGGTCAGGAGCATCCTGAGCCAACACTGCCCAGGCAGTAGATCTCTGTAACAGAACTGTTCTGCTAAGATTTGCTTCGCTCTCAAAACACAACCTACTCGGGGGCTTACGTTTGCTTCAGACCTATGGTTTCATTACCTGGAAGCAGACAACATCCTTTAGCATAACATTAGCATATCTAGATTCCTTTCTGGTCAACTCACAACCCTCTTCTACCAGCAGCAGCTGGGAGAACAAGCAGGCAGCAAGCCCAGGGCATCAAGCTTACTTGTTAATAAACTGTTCTAATCCCTGTCTTCGCTCCTCAATGAAGGACTCCTCAAAGATGCCCTCGTCTCCTCGGAACGGAAGCTGTCGTTTCAAAGCTTTTCCAGGCAGCGGTGGCACTACAATCTGAAAGCAAAGAATCACTCCTGTCAGCAGAACTGCCATCTGAGAGAGGGCATCCTTCATCATTTGACACTCATCACACGGCCAGAAATTGAGTCCCGGTGGCTGCCCACCACAGCCTCTCCTCTGGACAAAATTATTGCTACAGCTGTTCTCATACAGCTCACTTGCAGGAATAGGCATGTCTGAGCAAGACCTCACCTTACTGTCTCGTTCCAGCTCATTCTTCAGCCATTCAAAGTCACTGTATCGTCTCCTCACACATGACTCCTTCAATTTGAAGATTGGGAGATTTGTCTGTAATAAAGAGAAACAGTTTGCAGGGCGCTTCAGAAGCTGGAGGGTATTTCAACATGCAGTTGAAACCCAAAGCTGCATTCAGAAAACCAGGCCCCTCCAAGAGGGACGAGTCACAAGAACACCCAGCTTCGTTATTCAGGACAGCACCAAAGCCCTTCAGAATCAAGCAAGCACTTGCTAGGCTACTTGGAGCCAGCCATTCCCTCCCCCTCAAGTTACTATTTCAGGAACACCCTCCGCACCCAGGGGCACACAGTGCTTACAGTACAGACAGGCTAATTGTTTTTTTCCTCCCGAGTTCACTCCATTTTGAGGTGATATACAAAACAGCTTTGCAGCCTCCTGCAGAGCAAAAGATGCTACCAACAGCAGTGTTTCCATGGAAGAAAAAAGGGAGGAAATCTTGTCCCTGCAACTGCCCAAGGCCAAACCTTGTGCTACCATCTCCTCTGAAAAGACTGCCAGTCCCAGCAGATGAGCAGCTTTCTCCTATCTGCCCTGTGCTACTGGAAGAACCAGCAGCAGCTTCCCTTCCTTCTGCCTGAATCCAAGAGCCTTAAGACTGACGGCTCCTCAAACTTCACCTTTGCACTATCAATACATTCTGAATCATCGTGGGAGCTGAGGCAGCACAACCTCCTGACACGCAGCACCCAGACACACAGGTACTGCTGCAAACACAGCTAACTACATACAGACCAGGCCCTGAGCAACCTCATCAAGCTGTAGATTTTTCTGCCCACTGCAGAGGAGTTGGACCAGATGACCCTTAAGGGTCCCTTCCAACTCAAACGATTCTATGATATCCCGATCAGTTCTGCAGAATAAAACTGCTTTCAAAGCACCTCCACAGGAACCGCTTTCAGCCAGACAAGGATCCGCTCGCTGCCATCCCTCTAGCAGGAAAATCCGGAATTAAGGCGAAATAAACAAACACCCAATCCTTCTGAAAGGCGCTCAGCAGTTAAACCACGCTGTGACAGAAGGCAACGCCGGCACCACGGCAGCCCAGAGGGAGCGCGCTTCGGGGCGAGCTCAATCCTACGAGCTCCAGCTCCCAGCGTGCGGCTGTGAGGCGACAGGCCTCCGTAGGGCCGCAACCCCCGGCCCAGGCCGCGCTCACGCCCTGCCAGGCCGCCCCCCGCCCGCCCGGCCCCGCGAGGGCCGCACCCTCATGCGGAGCTCGTAGCTGGTGTATCTGGCGCGGCCCATGCCCACGGTCTGCGGGTTGAAGATGTCGATCTCCAGGAAGTTGCTAGGCGGCCCGTACGCGTCCGTCAGGTCCTGCGGCTTGGCGTTCAGACGCCGGGTGTCCGCCACCGCCGCCTCCGACATGGTGGTGGTGCCGCCGCCGCCGCCCCGCCCGGCTCGGCCCGGCCGCTGCCGCAGCCCGCGTTGCCCCGCCCGCGCATAACGCCTCGCCGCCCGCCCGCTGCCTGCATAACGCAGGGTTTATCCAGAGTCCCGGGCGGCCGAGGCCACCCCACTCGTGCATCCTGCGCCGCCACTCGCACGGCGCTTGCATAACGAGAGTAAGTATTCATATCGCAGGGCTCAGACGGTCACAACCCCAGAATCTGGATGCTCGCCGGGGCCCCGGAATCTGATTAATACAACGAACGGGTTCGGGCCCATCGCGCTTTGCGCGCTGCTCCCATCCGGACGCCGCGCTCCCATCCCCGGCGGGGCGGCGTCCGAACGAACCGACTTCCTCACGAGACACACAAGGCCCACAAAAAGGGCACAAGATGTGTGAGGACTCGGTTATGTAAGCGCAGCCGCCGCGGCGCCCGCTGGGAGCTGTAGGCACGCGGCCGCACCGCCTGCCACGCTCTCCCGTCGGAGCCACGCCTCCATCTCTCCTCCCCTCCGGCGCGGTGCTCGCCGGGAGCTGTAGTCCGCCGCCCGCCCTCGGCCACGCGCCGCGGCCCCGCCAGGACTACATTTCCCAGCGTGCCCCTCGCGCGCACGCGCACCGCGCGGTGCTGCTCCCTGGTAAACACAGCGGCGCGGCGGTGGCGGCGACGACGGAGGGTTCGGGGTTGACAAAGGGGCCGCGGGCCGAGCCCATGCGCCGCCGCGGAGCGCGTCAGGCCCGGCGGGGCGCGGTGCGGCGGCGCTGAGCGGGGCTCATGGCGGAGGCGGGCGGCGCGGCGGCGGCACCGCCGGACATCGACCCGGACTTCGAGCCGCAGAGCCGGCCGCGCTCCTGCACCTGGCCCTTACCGCGGCCCGAGCTGCCCGCGGGCGCGGCCGAAGCGGGCGGAGCGGGCGCGGCGGCGGAGGAGGGCGCGGGCGGAGCGGCGGCGGCGGCGGCGGGGCCCGGGCGGACCGAGGGGGCGCGGGCCGGAGGCGGCGGCGGCGGAGCGGCGGCGGCGGCGCGGAAGGGCGGCTCCCGGCGGAACGCGTGGGGCAACCAGTCGTACGCCGAGCTGATCAGCCAGGCCATCGAGAGCGCGCCCGAGAAGCGGCTGACGCTGGCGCAGATCTACGAGTGGATGGTCCGATCCGTGCCCTACTTCAAGGACAAGGGGGACAGCAACAGCTCCGCAGGATGGAAGGTGCGCGGGGCTGCGGGTCGGTTCGAGGCGCTCCTTCTTTCCACTCCTCCTTTCCGCTCTCCCCGCGGGGCCGTTCGCGGCCGCGCTCACCTGTTGCTCCTCGTCCCGCTCCGTGCCGGGGTCGCGGCTCGGCGCCGTGCCTCGTTGTGCTCGCTCCTCGTGTCCTCTGGGCTGTGCTGGAAGGAGCGAAGCTGCCGCGGAGGCCGTCGAGGAGCTGCTGAGGGGTTTTTTAACTCGAGGCCGCAGTTCTCTGTCGCCCCGGTGCGCGGGGCTCCGTGTGAATAACAGTTTCATAGCAGGCATTCTTGGCGTTAAGGGCCTCCTTTAAAAGCGTGCTCTGCCCGAGAGTCGCTTTGCAGGGACTGAGGACCTCTCCTGGAGTTTGGCAAAGGGAGAACGCACATCAGAGCTGCAAACCTCTTCCCGTCTGCCCTCTCCTGCTGCTCTGTGTATGGGCAGGTGCTGCGCTCAGTTAAAGACCCGGCTGTGCTTCCATCCTCTGCAGGTGGCGGCTGCAGTGCGTGTGCTGTTCGGTCAGGTGGGCTCCAGCAAAGAGAAGGGGTGATGTGAGAGCTGGGCTGTGAAACAGCCCCATGGGCTGCATGCGTATGTACCTCACAGCAGATGCCCCAGGAGTGGGGGCTGAAGGGCAGCACCACAGTGATGCTGTGCTCCTGTTTGCAGCCTGTGCTGCAGTGTGAGCTGGTGGGTTTGGGGCTTCCGCAGCTCCGGCTCTGCATTCCTCTCCTGCATGACTGAGCAGCCAGTCAGCACTGAGAGTTAGCTTTGCTTCTAGCGGTGTGTTGGTGGGGCTGCCTGCAGCTGGTCCAGCTCTGAAGGGGCTCACTGGGCAGCTGTGGGAGTCCTGTTGGCTGGAGAGAGGGCAGGAGTGGTGGGAGAGGTGCAGCTGTCTCAGCCCAGGTTGGCATGGGTTGACACAGAACTTTTTCCCACTGTATTTCTCACACTTTCTGACAGCTAAGCATAGCTTAAATTTGAGAATCCGTGTATATTTCTTTGTGTTAAATCTCTTCTTTGTGCGGGTTGAACCATCATTAAGCTTCAGTTTGAGGCAGGACACAGTTATTCTTTTCAGTAGGTTTGGGGGGCTCGTGGCAGAGGGCTCTCCCACCTCGGGCTGCACACGCTGTGCTGCTCCTACTGTTGAACAGACTCATGTTCTTCTGACAAACAGTTCCTGGAACAGCGTCTGTTCTCTTCAGGAATGTGTCTGCATCTGTTTGGCAACAGAGCCTGAAGTTGTGTCTTATTAAATGTATCCCAGGATGTTGTGGGGAAGCTGAAGCATCGTGCCCAGCTGGAAGCTGCAGTAGGTGGGTATGGAGCTTTGTAAAGCATGGCTGTCCTCTTGTATGAATGTGCAGAGGGACTGTTGGCCTTGGTTGTACTCTGAGTTTTCATTGTGTATCATGTTTAGGAAATGTAGTCAGATTGAACATTCAGAAAGATGGAAATGGGAATCTGTGCACAGGGGGAAGCAATCTGTGCTCTGCTGTTCTGCAGTGACTTTTTCCTCGCGATGAAGTTCCTTTGTAGCCCTGCAGCCTGAGGGCTGCTTCATCCCATCCAAACTGACACAGCCACAGAGATGTGGGGGGGCTCCGGTTCCTTTTGCTCAAGTTAAGGACTCTTCTGGGTGCAGCTTTTTCAATGTTGAACTGAATGAGTTTGGATAGGGGAACCAAAGGTGGAGCTGCTGCCCAGTGCTGGTGGGATGCTCAGGTGCCTTCAGCCCCTGAGCTGTGATGTTCCTGTTGTTTTGGCAGACACACTGGTAATGTGTCACATTGTGCAGTTCTAATAGAGAATTTGAGATGGGAAGTTAAAGAAGTGAACATGTTTAGAACATCATACACATCTGCTCTAGTTAATATAAAGCCTGTGAACTCGTTGTTGCTTCAGAATGGCTTTGCAGCTGCTTTACCCCAGCACACAATGGAGGGAAATACAGCTGTTATGGTCTGTGAGGGTGTGACCTCTGAGTTCAGGAAAGCTCAGTTCTCGAGGAAGGTGCCGTTTGCTGTTCCTGAACTGTGCCAGGGGACAGAGCTGCTGGGTGTGCAGTCTGGCTGCTCCCTAATGTAATTCAGCTGGGGTTAAGAATTAACCAGGCTGGGGGGAGAAGTGTCGGCGCAGGGGTGTGCCTGCAGCCGCTGTAATCCCCTCGTGGGCTCTGCAAGCTGCTCCAGGATAAGAGGATCATTCCTTCCGGCTCTCTGCCTGCAGGATGGGGGGCGTGGGGGCTTTGGGCAGAGCTGTGCCTTGCTCAGCAGGAGGACACAAACCCGTCTGCAGCAGTCCCTGTGTGCTCCTGCTGCACTTTGTGTGTCTGTGAGTATAAGCAGGTTCAGCACGGTGATGGGCACACAAAAAATGTGATCCCATCCAGAGCAGGGCCACGTTCCAAAGCCAGGCTTGTGATGTTCTCCCAAACCCACTGTCTTCTCTTCTGTAGGAGCAGAAGGAACTTGAAGCTGGCCTCTTCCACATCAATTCAGCATAGGGAAGATCAGCCTTTTCCTATGCGTGCAGTGGAAAGGAAAGGACAAATGGTTCTGCAGCATAGCACTGGTTGCAGGAGGCTGAAGTGCCACGCTGTGTTCTGGCACTTTGTGTTTGCTTCCATTCAGATGTGTGTGTGTGCACGGTGCAACAATTCCAGTGGCTGCACTGCAGATTACAATGAGAAGGGACTTCTTTGGCTGCTGCAGTGACAGCAGCTCTTATGGTCCTCTGTAGAAGAGCAGCAGCCAGAAAGCAAAAGCAGCCCTGGCTGGGAGGTTCTGCAGGTTATCCTCACACCTTGCAAATGAGTTCCAATTCAGTTCCAATTAAGCGCGTGCTTGTTTTGCTGGAGGTGAGCTGTTCATCATTCATTGGCTCACCGACTGCTGCCCGGCCTGTTTCACTTTTTCTGTAGGCAGATGTACAGAAAGCAGTCGTAGAATCATTGACAGGTCGTGAAGCCCTTCGTAGTATTCTCCTGTTGTTGCCTGCTGAGGCATTATTGGCTGCGTGCCCAAAAGCCGTAAAGCAGAAGGAGATGTAAAACTTGAGCTCAGCGTTCCAGCTCTGAGCAAGGTGCTGTTCTGTATGAGCTTCAGTCCGGTGCACATCTGTAGGTGGGGAGGACTCAGCCTGGAGCTGCTGGCTGTGCAGGGAGGGAGGCTGAGGTGGTGTTAATCTCCCTCAGACGTTCTGGCAGTGAAAATGAAGAGGTGTGTATTCTACATAGCTTTGATTGCTGACGTTGTTGCTGTCATCGTTGGCACCTAACTAAATTTAACAGAAACCAGAACAGCAGTAATCAACAGAGGTACAACAGAGCCATGCTGCGTTAGGTTTGTTGGGGTTCTTTTTAAGTTCTGTGGGTGATTCTTGTTTTTCCTTCCCAGGGTGCAGTCGTTCTGGTCCAAGGAGGGAGAGCTCTCCTTTTGGCAGCATCCCCTCTGCCCCATGCGGTGTGCTCCAACCCTCGGGAGCTTTTGCTACTCCCTGTCCATTTGTTTGGCAAAGCTGCATTACTGGAAGATGAGTTTTGCAGCACGGCTTCATCTATCAGGCAGCCCTGAAAGGCAGCAGCTCCTGGGATGCTGGCATGGCTTGTTCCAACAAGTTCCTCCTGCTCTATCTAATCCCAAATAGCTTTTGCTCTGTCTGCCTGCCTGTCATGTTCAACATCTTAAATTGTCACGGTTTTCCTCTTTTAGAGAGCTAGGATTTCCTTCTTTTGAGCTCAGACCGAAAGATTGCAGAGAGGGGAAAACGTCCCTCCTAAGAAGCAGCTTTCTGTCTGCGAGGCTGAGGTCTGCACCCATGCTGGAGGGCGGCAGCAGGAACACGGCTCAGCTCTGGAGCAGTTGTTTACTTGCTGGAGCACAGCTTTGCAAAATCTCTGCCATGAAGCCTTTTCCCAAAGCCTTGGGAGCCAAGTGCCGGGGTGAGTGCTGAGACAGGCACTGACAAATGTGGGAGGCGGGGCGTCCTCCCTCGTGCAGCCTCTGAAGAATGCAGTGGCAAATTATAATTCAGTGCAATTACAGGCCTGGCTTTGGAACATGGCCCTGTGCTGGATGTGACCGTGTTCTTTGTGTGCCCGCGAGGCAGTGAGAACGCAGTGCAGGGAGCTGCAGGGATTGCATGTCTTGTTTTTCTTTTTCTTCCTGTCCCCGATTCTTCAGAGAGACTTTTTTTTTTTTTTTTGCTAAGGCTTCCTCTGGGATTTGTGGTAGCAACTTTTTTGAGACTTCGTCAGAGAATGGCTGCAGTGCTGATGGAGCATCCCTGAAAACCAAAGCAAACGTGGGCAGTGGGATGGGCAACAACCCCAGCCTACCCTGGAAGCCATGCAGTGACATGGAAGGGCCATCACTGGCTTCTGTAGGAATCAGCTGTGTGCTGTGGGTGGGATGTGAGGTGCTGTCTGGAAGGCTGCTGGGGCAGCCTTATGCACCACCTGGTGGGTGATGCCTTGCCTGCAGACCAAACGGGGCTCTGCACTGTGCTGCTGGGGGGCTGTGTGGCAGCATGGATTGCTCCTTTCCTTTCTATAGAGCAAGGAGATGTTATCGACTGAGAAGATTCAGTGTCGTGATAACTGCTGGGGAACGAGGAGATGGTTTGTGTGGTGTTAGGCACGCAGCTGTGGCTGTGGGTGTATCCTGCCCCAGACACGGAGTGGTTGGGGCCAGGGGGATCACTGATTGTTTAAGTAAATGTTTCTAGCCAGGCTTTAATCCGTGTAATAGCTGTCATTAATTTCCTACTAGTCTTGTCCGAATGTGGTTTAAAGGCATCAACTCTGATCCAAAAGGGATGAGAGACACCAATGGGGGCTTTTCTCACTGCAACACACAGCTGTAGTCCATAAGATCCTCTAAGATATGCAGTCACCCATTCCCCAGCTCACTGCCATAGAGGTTCCCATGGCTTTGGCACCAGCCTGTCCCCATCCCCACACTCAGGCTGCACTCAGCCTGGAGGCATTGCAGACCCACAGCCCATGTTGGCACCCAGTATCAGCATTTCAGAGCAGCCAGACTGCTCTGCAGCATCTCTGAAGTTAATTGCAGCTCTGCTTTTGGTTCAAGTTGCTTAACGTCGAGAAAGGAAATACGTCAGGGTTGCCTAGGGGACTGAATTCTGTCATTTCCTCTCCTGCCAGGTTTCGCTTGGAGTTCTGCGGTTATTTATGGTGAATTTTCCGCTCGCTTTCTCAGCGAGATTTGAGGGTGCCCTCCGTGTGTCAGACCTGCGTCAGTCTGACAGCTGCATCCTCGCGCTGGGGAGCACGCAGCATGGAAGCTGCCAGGGCAGGGGCTCCTCTCCTCATCCCCATGGCTAAGTTTGCTGCCTGCGTGACACACAGCCAGCCCAGTGCACCCCTGACCACACATCTGTTCTCTTCTGTGTTTTGTTAGCATGGTGGTAGCCCAAAATCAAAGCAGAGCTGAAAGAGGAGCCTGAGAGCTGTGTGCTGTGCAATGGGAGATGGAGCAGTGCAGCCACCATCTGTGTCTGTGGCCACTGACCATCGTGGCTGCTTAGCAGGGATATTTGTGAGCCCTTTGCTACCTTTTGTGCAAGGGTTTCAGGCTTCCCAAAATAGCTATTTCAAGATGTCTTGTTTCAAGCTGCTGTTCAGTCAGAAAATTTGGTACTAAAACTTAGGATGTGGAAAGTGATGTTATTAGGATGTGGAAGTGGTGTTATTTTTTTCTTCAGGTTTCATTGTTCACAGATCTCTTGAAGCAATGCAGGAGCACTTACACCAATGCAGCCTGCAGGACTGGGCGTCTTCAGCAGCTCACAAGTGAGGGGAATGAGTGAAGATCTGGGAGGTTCTTGCTGTAGGAGCATGCATAGCAAGCGTGGTCACTTGGGGAGTGGGGCAGTGCTTTGGAAATGAGGGCAACAGCTTCCCAGGAGATGGTACCACTCTGATTGCTGTTCTGGACTTGGAGAAGAATAGAAGTGAGCTTGTGTGTCCTTTGGGAATGTTTTTCTCCAAATCCTCAACAGCCAATGGTTGAAATGGAAGCTGACACAGAACCATTTGCGCATCTCCTTCCATCTGCACAAAACTTTCCGCTGTGCCCATGGTGTTTGTTTATCTGCAGCTGCTCTGCTTTAGGACAGTTTGTTTGAGGTGGACAAAACGAGCGTGGTAAGGACTCATCTGAGAGGAAAGGGTGTGGAGAGGGAAAGCAGCAGGCAGGAAGAGCTGTGCTTAGAAGCAGTGGAAAAGGATGATAAAAGCACAGTTGGTTCAGAGCAGTGATGTTGTGCGAGAAAACTGAAGGCTGCTCTGAGCCTTTTAGCTTGTATGACACAGGTGTTGCCCTGGACCACTGTTGTGCTACTGATAAAGCACCTTTTAATTATGTGCAATTTGCCCATCTGAACTAATTAAGTGCACAGCACAGGCTTCAGGGAGGCTCGTGGAGGGTCTGCCCAAACAGCTTCTGATCCTAAAGGGAGGTTTATCAGCACAGTTGCAGGATGAAAATTTGCTTTGACATTGGTGTGCAGCCATTTTAGCTGGCAGTTTCTTGCAAAGCTCAACCACGTGAAGTGTGTTGGGAGGGACAAGGAATGCATGCTTTGCCAAATGGGAAGATGGGAGAGGCTAAAACTGGCATGTACCGTGTGGGAGTGCATTATCAGCTTGAACATCTTACCCCATTAGAAGCACACACAGTGTACTGCATCCTTGCAGAGTGAGGCTGGCAGCCTCCAGGCTTAGCAGGGTTCTTGCTCCACAGATTCTCTCTTGTTTGTATTGGAGATGAAAAAGGTGACAGGTATATGGAATTGGGAGTGTTGTGTCAGTATCGTGGTGGTTTCACCCCTGGTGCTGCAGTGAGGCACTGCACTTCTTGCAGGTGCTGTCAAGCATGTTCAAGCAGAAATAACAGGCTTCAGACAGGTAGCACTTTGCTGTACCTTCCTTCTCTGGATGCTGTCTGAATGCACTGTGAGATTTCTAATTGAGAGGTGTGGTGTAAGCAGTCCTCATATCTTGTATTGTTTTTGTTTTCTTTTCAGAACTCTATTAGGCATAACCTGTCCCTGCACAGCAAGTTCATTAAAGTTCATAATGAAGCCACGGGGAAGAGTTCCTGGTGGATGCTCAATCCTGAAGGTGGTAAAAGTGGAAAAGCACCAAGAAGAAGAGCTGCATCTATGGACAACAGCAGCAAACTCGCTAAAGTCAGAAGTAAAGCATCCAAAAAGAAACCCCCTCTCCAGTCTGCACCAGAAGCCACTGCTGACAGCCCTGGCTCCCAGTTCCCAAAGTGGCCTGGGAGCCCATCCTCGAGAAGCAATGAGGACTCTGATGTGTGGAACACCTTCAGGCCTCGAACCAGTTCCAATGCAAGCACCATTAGTGCCAGGCTTTCTCCAATCCTGACCGAGCAGGATGACCTCCACGACGAAGAGCTTCTCCCATCTATGGTGTACTCCAGTGCATCCAGCAATGTTCCACCAACCGTGACTGAGGAGCTTGAGCTCATCGACGGGTTGAATTTGATGTCTCCCAGCTCATCCGTGCTGTCTACCCAGCAATCCGCCTCCAGTGGTCAGATCCAGAGAGATTCCAGCTTTTCCTTGCGGAGCCCAAATGCAGCTGGTCAGACCACTACGTTTGGCAATTCCCTGTTTAACCCTGTTGAAATGTCTCTGCAGAGTTCTGTCAGCCATTTCTCTGGCCCGCAGACCTTGGAAGCTCTTCTGACACCCGGCTCTCCGCCTCCAAGGGATGTGCTGATGACTCAGGTGGATCCAGTTCTCCCGCAGACTGGTGGCAGGATGAGCAGCCGAACTCTCCTGCTTCTAGGTGGACAATCCACCCAGAGTAAGATGAGCTCAGGCAATGCACGAGGAAAGCCTGCGGAGCAGCAGGCAGAACCAGTTGGTGCCAGTGTTTTGCCATCAACGCTTCCCATAGTAGCATCTCCTCAAAACACTGCCAGCATTAACAGTTTGAAGGCTCCAGTTTCTGCAACAACTGCCCAGTCGGTCCAGCTGGGCAGTCCTCCACTGCTTTCTTCTGCTGGCCCTGCTCCTCTGGGGCTGAACCAGGACAGGCTGCCCATTGACCTGGACATTGACATGTACATGGAGAACCTTGAATGTGATATGGATTACATAATCAACAGTGAACTCATGGATGGAGAAGGACTGGACTTTAATTTTGAACCTGTTCCGTCTACTCCCAGCTACCCCAGCAGCTCACAGGCTTCCAGCCACACCTGGGTACCAAGTTAACTTCAGGAGCACAAAAAGGTAAGTGGTGCCATGTAGAGTACCACGGCTCTGTTGTAACAGCATCAGCCCTGTCTAGGAAGCTTCCTGTGCCCCACTGTCAGTAGTGGAAGAGAAGTCTTTGGAAGAGAGAGTTCTCTTTCAGGACAAAGCTCTGGGAGAGCTGCATTCCCTATTAGAAGGGGAAAGACTGTGTGAAGGAGAGTGAATTTAACTTGACTAGGTAGTAAGCTTCTTAATGAAGCAGAGCAGCAAAGTGAATGAAATTCTTGCTGTCTCTCATTAACAAAGATGACTGTTCTACAGGAGGTTGGTCTTTTCCATTTGATGCTTTTAGCTCTGAATTTGACATGAGAACATATTCTGCTTACATGAAAATGGTACATTCAGAGCTGTTGAACTGAGCAGGCTCTGTTTCTATCCAGGTTGTAATTGTGCTTGCAATGTTTTTTAGTATGTGTAGTTGCAAAGCCTATCTGTTTCATGATTGTCTGCTTTGCCTGCATGTAGCAGGACACAGATGCTCTCGGTTATCAGCCCTTCTGCCTTTCCCTTATCTGGGTATGGTGTCTGTAAGGTCTGGTTTGCCTGTTTGTCAGCCTATGCAGCCATTAGAATGGAAGGGGAAGAGAAAATGGGAGTGTGTGGTATGAATGGGGATGGAAGGAGGAAGGATGTGTCAGTGCTGTCACACTGGAGATGGAAGCATGTTTCACACTTGGAGCTCACCTAACTAATGGAAAAGGGGCAGTGTCTTTATGGGCTGAGGCACAGGCTGGGCACTGGCTGGGAGATCGAAGTGTTGCCAGGAGTGTCTCCTGAGGAGACAGATGTGGGATTTGTTGGTGTTGCAAGCTCAATTAATAATGCTGGGCAGATGGAAGGGCAAACTGCGGATACTGCTTGAGTCGTGGGAAGCTCTTGAGCTTCAAAATGATGGAGGATGAGCAGAATTATCACGTGCTTGGCTTTAATACTCATTCCAAGGCAAGTGAGTAACCTGAAGACAGTCTTGCTTTGAGCAAGGAGTTTCAACTGGGTGACCTCTGGAGGTTCCCTCAGCCTAAGTTCTCTGCTGATTGCTGCTGCTGTTCACGCTGCAGGTCAGACATCAGGCTGTACACTTGTCTGTTCTGCACCAGTACAGCCTTCCAGGCAAGTACTGCGGACTAGATGCAGTGAAATGCTGTCCTTTGGGCCTGTGATGCTTAAACATTGATACACCATTATATATTGACTTTTTAAGCACAGTTGAATGCCTTTCCCCTGTTTCCTTACTGGGCTTTTTATAGCCTTGTGCACTCATTAAGTGTGCTCAGCTGAATTACAGAGTGTTTGCCTTAAATTGGGCATCTTCACTTCAGGTGGAATACGGAAACTCGGTTTTGATTTCAAAGCTCTTCAGCTGTGTGAAGACAGTTTGCAAGCTGGTGGCAGAGGCTGGTGCATCCTCAGCACTGTTTCCATGGGACCTTGTCCTGAGCTCTTGTGGTTCTGTATGCCATGCATCACATCTGGAGAGGGCATCCACTTTATGGAGGGAGATGTTCACAGGGATGTTTATGAGACGTGGATGCTGCAGATATCCTGCAGTCCTGGCTGCATTCGTTAGCTGGGCTGGATAGTCAACAGAAGACAGCATATCACACACAGCTTTATTTTTTGTAGGGATATAAAATAGGGGAAGCTGACCAAATGTTTATCAAAGGGTAGGGACTAGTGCTGGTGAAGGTATGGCTGCAGTGAAAGGCAGAGGGAGGAGATGAGGCTCTTAGCAGCAGCTGTGCTCTTGTTCAGTACAGATTTTCAGTACCTGCGTTGCTTAATCAAAGCAGAGTAACCTTGTTCTGGTGTGCCAGGCTTTCATATTGCTGTGTGATGTTCACACTGGTGAAAACTCCCACGGATGACTGCTGACCTTAGAGCCATCCTAAGCAGTGTCTGCAGGCTGGTTTGTGCCCCCCTGGGTCGGGTATGGCTGTAACGCTGAGCAAAAGCTGCTTGTCAGTGAGTGCTGGTGGTCACGCACTGTGATTTGGAACAATCACTGTTCCTCACGGTATCGGGCAGACATGACTTTATCCCCTTCTGCTGCGTTAAGCACTGATGATGTGTCCACAGCTCCCCAGTGTTCTGCTTAGGCCCCTTTACATGGAGATGAGAGATCCAACGCCAAACCCTTGCAATGATGCAAAGTACCTCTTGGCTTGCAAGGAAGAGTGGCAGTGTGCCAGCGCTTTCCTTGACTGGGAAATGCAAAAATCCTGCCATTTCTGCTGCTGACTGCGTGGATAACGTGTGGTGAAGGTGCTCGATGTGGGCTGAAGGCTGTGCAGGAAGCGTGGCCGCATCTGGAAGTAGTGGTTGGTCTGCAGGTGCTCCTCCAGTGCTTCATGCTGGTGTCCCCTGTTGGTGGCCTCTGCCTTTCTGTACCATTTTGGCATGAGGTCCATCTGCTCTTCTGGTGGAGCTTAGTTAACGATCTTCCCGCGTTCAGTTGGGATTAGCTCTGTAGCCTGCAGAGCCCTTTATCCCTCGCCCAGCTTGGGCCAGACTCTGTGTTTCCATGCTGTTCTTTAATTCCTTTGAATCCCAACACTGCGTTTTGTTCTCCTAGAAATTTAATAACTGACTGACTCCCCTGCGTTGTCTCACAGTTTCCTGGAGCCTGTTGCTCCGGTTGCTTTTCTTCTTGTTGGGGCTGATCCCCTCCTGCTGCTTCTTCACCTTCCCACAAGTTTCATTTTGTGCTCACCAGTGCTATTGCTGAGTGTGATAGACTTGGTGCCCTGCGTTTACCTTCTCGTTCTGCCTCAGATTGTCTTAAATCTGCTGAGATCTCTCCCAACCCTTGTTTGCTGCGCTGAGTCCAGCCAGAATGAGGCGGAGGGTCTCTTTGTCTTTTCCCTCCCAGCTCACATTCGTGGCTGCTCTTCCTTGCCACTTTCCCACGGTGCTTCTGGTGGCAGCCCAGTCCTTAACATCTGCTTATCTCACAGAGCTTCGGTGCTATCAGCTCGCAGGAGGAGTGCTTGCTTCTGACCTTTGTGCTTTTGTTTCGTCTTCCTGTCTCAATGGTTCTCTGAGTTTGGGGCTGAGCAGTTGTGTCCTCTACTTGACTCCTCCATCAAGGTCTCTGTTTGTTCCCTAGCGTAAACGGGCATCTTTGAGCAGCACAGAGCTGACTGATAGTTACTATCTCCTTATCTGTGCATCCAGGATTGCCACCGAAGCTGAGATCTAACTGTTCGCTCTTTTTTTCTTCTCCCTAGTGTCCTTCAGGTTTTGAACATTGGGTTCTGACTTCGCTTCCCACCCCTGGCAGAGAAAAGAACGGAGCATGTTGGATTTGCTTTCCCTGCACGCCACACCTTGGGCAGAAGGGGCTGCCCATCTAGGAAGAAGGGGCAAACTGCATCTGGCTGCAGCAGGAAGAGGTTAAAAATAAGAATCCTGTTACGTGCCACCTCTCTTCCTACAAACCTGACCCTGCCATGGACCTTCTGGGGAAACCCTGGGCTGAGTGTGTCTGGAGAGGAGCCCTGGTAGAAACCTCGGCCAGAAGCCTCTGTGGCGGGCAGTAGTGTTTTCCCATGTGAAGAGTTGGGTTTGCTGGAGGAATGTCTCCATGGCTGTCCTCTCTCTGCTACGGCAGAAAGTCTCCCAGTGCCTCGGGCTGGCGGAGGGCTGCTCGCTTCCCTCTTGCCTTGAAATAGTTGGACGTTTTCATTAAAGCCACCAGTTGTGCACTTGGAATCCCACGGACCGGCTGAGGAATGGGAAGCAGCGTGCTGATGGAAGCCTGGTGGGAAGAGGGGTGCTGTTATGGGGCTGGGGTCAGTGGTTCCACCGTGCCCTTCTCACCGGATCAGCCGTCATCTTTGTGCAGTGGAGGGCTGTGGTTGTGGCATTCGGGGCTTCCTTCATTCATCTGAGAGGAGCAGTGTTGAGTTTTTTCACTGTGCCAACTGTGCCCTGTTGAATCCTAAGCATGTTTAGAGAAGTCCCTATGCTGTTCTCAGCACGTTCCCAATACACCAGGCTGATGTAAAATAGGCACGGGTGCCAATAGCTGCTTCTGGGACGCGAAAACATCATCTGGGGGTTTGTTTCTCATCTCTCATGCTACAGCAGAGAAGGGGAAAGCCTGGGTGTGGCCTTAACAGAGCCCTGGTTGCTTTTCAGAAGGGCATTTTCTATAGATGAAATATTTTTTTACTAATCTGGGAACTTTCTACAGTGAATATGAAGCCAATGTTAAGTGTGTCCCCGTTAGGCGTATCAGGAGCCTCTGAGGAGGTGCCAGTGACAGACTTCTTTTTCAGAGCTGCATTAGGAACAAACGTATTTGATGTTGGATAATGTATAGGATTGAGGGGAGAGTTGGCAGATCCCCACAGTTTCCAACCGCCGTGGGGAAGGGTTGTACATTAATGTAATCTATATGTAAAAGTAGCTGCAAATTACATAGAAGCTTTTCTAAACCTTTTTAAATATATATTATATATTTTAATTGAAAATGAGATTATTGGATAAAAAAAAAAAAAACACAACAATACTTGCTGCATCTGTCCCCTTGATAGCAGATAACACTACAGAGTGGGAGGGGACAGGCCTAAGGCAATTTGGGCCAAGAAGCTGAAGATGTCATTAGTAAAAGTGGGAAGAGCCCTGCAGTGTAACTGGGGAATAACTGCCTTCCCTAAAGCAAGTGGAAGGCACCAGCATGGCATTCAGCCACAGCTCCTCATTTGCTCCCCTGGATCCAGCATTCCCACTGTGCTTGGGAATGCCAGTCATTAACTGCACTCCTCATCCCTTCGGTAGCTGGGCTGCGTTGCAGGGATTCCCATTTGTGGGATGGTGTGGGCTTGGCCATGCTCCGTCTGCTGGCATTCCGGGCAGGGTGATGGAGAGCACTAGCTGGTGTGTTTGTAGCTGTCATCTTGGGTTCTGTGATCTTTATTTGTTGCTGGAGTTTCTTCTGCTGCTGGGGAGCACCACCCTGGGGCTGTGTCAGAGCTTGTCCCATCTTTTGCTTCCTGCAGGACAGAAGCTAGGAAAGAGGAGACCAGTTCACTTGGCACATTTCTGCTACCATTTGGTGCTGGCAGTGGCAGGACCTGGTGAGACGTGGTGGTGCTTTTAGGGTATTCCAGTAGGCTGGGTCTGGCAGAACCCCTCTGGGCTCCTTGCTGAAGGAGGAGGTGGTTTCTGCTCCAGTTTCCATCATGCAGTGCCATGAGCCATGTTGTCTCGCCACCTTGTCTGCTCTGTTGTCATGGACCTCATTTCATTTTCATTTGAGTGGAGATTGGAACACTGGGAGTGGTTTGTCTGCCTGCCTGCACCATTGAGTCTTCAACAGCCTTATCCTCAGCATGCTTGGCCATCAGAGCCCTTGTGTAGTCTGATAACCTCTGCTTTGAAGGCAGTCTCTGTGGCAGACCTCATGGCAATGCACTTATAAATAATCCACCATCTGCACGTCTGGCCACACCTCGCTGCAGCAAAACCAAAAACATTGAGGAGGCAGATCATAAGCTGGGATACCAGGTCTTGAAGTAGGGATGCATATTCTCACTGCAATTAGTTCATTACTCAAATCGACAGATAGCCTTTCCACAAACACCTCATGCTACATACGGCATATATTGCACATAATGACTGGCCATTATGCTCATTCACTTAATAGATCCGGTGGGATTTGGGTTTTCTGGTGGATAATAGACCACTTTGTTTGCTTGGACCCCCAGGGCAAACAAGTCCCATAATGTGCAGAGTGAGCTGATGACTGCCATGCTTAGGAGTGGTTCTGCTGCTTCACAGCTGTGTATCAAGGACAGGATAGCAGCACGCCCAGTGCTGCTCAGGGTGACTCTCTGATGCCTTTATCAGGAAAACAGAGCCCAAAGCAATAGGAAGGGCGTTGTTAGCAACAGGTGCTCTCCATCCCCTCAACACAAGAGCAGCTGGCAGGGGCTGAAGGAGCTGGAGAGCGTGTGCTGGTGCTGAGGATGGTGCTCAGGAATGCTCAGTGAGCAATGAATGCAGTGTTATGGGCTCGGGTGGATTCTCTGCTTGTTGGTATGTGTGGCAGGGCGGTTTGGATCCCGGTCACAGAGGGCAGGGATGCAGAGAATTTGGGAGTTCTCCAACCCCTTCTCAAATAACTTCCCCTTCATAAAGCTTTTCTAGCCTGGGATGTTTCCTCATAGGATATAAAGGACTTTAAAGTTCTTAAACCACCGCTTGCTGAAGGCTGGGAGGAGAGGTCTCACTCAGCACTTCCCTGGGATTTGTGTTCTTTCCCAAAGTGTTTGCTTCCGACAGATGCTGAGTGCAGCACAGCATCTCGGTGGGTCGTTGTTCTGAGTCAGCAGCAGTGAGCAGCAGGGATTTACGGGGGCTGTTCCTGTAAGGAGGGGTCAGGCTGGGGTTAGGGGAGCAGCTCTGAGCCTGGTGGGGAAGGAGGGCAGGGGACGTTGCTGTGGGGATGCTGCTCCCTGACAAGTGCCTGGGGGGCTCCTGGCATGAAGCCGTCCGCCGTGCTGTGCACACCTTCCCTGTCCTCACCGTACTGAGTTCCATTCACATCCAAGGATCAAATGCTGTCTTCCACAGCGTGAGGCCACCACGCTCTGGGCCCTGAAGGGTTCTGCCCATGGAGCCTGCTGGGAGGCACGCTTACTGCTTTCATTTACACCTGAGTTTAGCTAATTGCTTGAGACTTCTTCATAACTTGAGTGTATTTCACTACTACCGGCTCCCTGTCAAAGTTTGGGCTATTGAAAGCTGCTTAGAGCCCTTAATTTCCATAGCTGGTGTGTCTAAAACCATGACATCCCCCTGCCTGGGCTGCTTCACAAACAGCAGTGCCATCATTCTGCTAAGTGAGAGGAACAAATGCAGTGGGAGCATTCCGGAGCCTGGCTGTGCTCATAACTGAGGCTCATGCTAGAAGCAAGTAGCACTAATCAGCTTTTCCAAAGGAAATGCCTAGAAAGCTTTTCTATAGATCATGATTTGTTCATTTTCTTACTTAGGTGCTTATTTATAGTCACACTCAACTGCTCCAGGGCTAGCCTTGCTCCAGGAGGGAGAAACCTGTGTCTGGTGCTGTGGGTGGGGGTGTCTGGAGAGAGCGGGGTCACCAAAATAATGTGCGAGTTTGGACCATTATCCAAAAAAAACCAACACGTGTATATCAATTTTGGGATGTGAACCTGAACAGGGATGGCGTAGGGTTTGCCTCGGCTGCATGCCTGGTGAAAAGTTTGTTCTGATTCACATGGGGAAAAGCAAGCAGGAGGTGACTCCGGGTGCCTGAAAGCTCAGTAGCCTGTGTAACTCATCACTACAGCTCATCACCCCTCGAGAAAGGGACCCTTGTGGTGCCAAGCAGGAGGGCACGGCCACAGCTGGTGCTCCCAAAGTGTCTGGAGAGGTCTGGCACTTCTGCTGGAAGCAGCCTTCTTCAGAGAGCTGGGGCTGGTTTGGGGAAGAGGTGTTTCCAGCACAGCTTTCTGCACTGCCAGCACAGGCACTGCACACAGGATGGGCACCACGAGCGGATGCCTTTCCCACCCCATCCCCCTCTGCACACTTCCACCTATTTCTCATGAGAATTATTATTATTTTTTTTTAACATAATAAATCTCTGCTTTTGTTTGCTCTCTGTAGCAGTGTAACTTCTGAACCATTACAGGCTCTTTGTTACCATCTGTGCTAGCAAGACTGTAGAATGTGCTAGACTAGGGGGGAATGTTTGACAAATAAAAAACCTGTAATCCTCTACTCTGTCTCATGCGGTTTGTTCTGGTGTGCTGATGGGGGCCCATTTTTATTGTGTTTATTTTTTATTTATCGATTTCCTGGCCTTCAGCTTCTTTCCTTTGCTTCCCCATGCTGTTAGGGCAGCTGTGTGCCTGCCCTATGAAAGCTGCAGCGTGCTCCCAAGCGTGCGGATCTCTTTGGTGCCAGTGGTGCTGCCAAGCCCTAAAGCTGACCCTGGGCAGCTGGAACTTCTGCAGGACTGTTCAGGAGTTGTGCTGACCTGCTCAGGGTTTGCCCTCCTGGACCTGAGTGCAGATGGTTCTGTTCACTTTGCATAGAGATGTTCAGTGTTGACTTGTATTCCACTGTGAGTGTCAGCAGTTGTGCTGGCTGTCTCTAGGAGCACAGAGGTGGGGTTGCTGCTCCATCCAGCAGATGCTGTCCATTAGGATGTCAGTGAGCTTCTTATCCTTGTGTACTCCAATGTCACTGTCACAAGATGCTCATGGTCAGATACTTGTATTAAAAAGGTGGGGGTAGCTTGGTATTCAGTAAGGTCTGAGGAAAGAATATCATTGAAAAAGTGTGAAATCGGTGCTTGCTTGTAACTTTTTAAAAGGATCTTAAGCTTCCTGCTTCAAGTCTTAAGCTGATCTCCAAATATTGGGTTTTAGGAGGAGATCCTCAGGGGAACTGACTCCCACACCTGCTCCTGGGATGCTTCTTGGGGCTTCCTGCAAGCACGCAGTGTTTGGTGCAGTTGGGGAAAGAAAATGCACAGGATGGATTTTGCAGTTGTTGATTCGTTCAGGGAGGATTCATCCCAAATTTGACATAGAACAGGGGAACGTTTGTTCCCTCCCAGTGGTTAATAGGTTTTATGCTGATCTGAGCATTGCCAAGGATAGCAGAGCTAGTTGCCCAGCTCTGCTATATTCCATCCTAATGGATGCTTGAGTTCTGCATGCCTTTCTGATAGATGATGTCACCATTTCTCCAGTGGTGCAGTCCCTGGTGCTGGAATTCCCCACTGCAAAGCTTAGCTGGGATGTTACAGCATCTTTGGGCAGCACACCCAGCCCTGCCCAGCACAGCCATCCAGGTATCAGCACCATCCCAGTACAACCTGCCCCAGACAGAAAGAAAACACGCCTCCATGTCAAACATAATATATTTATAGCAAAAATAGGCTTTTTCTTTAGCTTCCATACACAAGGTTTTCTCCCCGTACATTTACGCAGTAAACAGGTCGACTGAAGCAGCGTGCACTGGGCTGACCTCACAGCTGCCCTCACTTCAGACTCCTGCTGATGATGGGGGGCCCTGAACGCCTCCTGCAGTTGCTTTCCTGTGCCCAGGGGGAACCAGGTTCCCTCACCCCCAGCTCTGGGCTGTGCACATGCATGGAGCAGCCCTGGTCCAGGAAGCTCCTGGCAGGCTGGGCTGCTGCTGCTCACCCGGGGCAGCCCCAGGAGCCCCCAGCCTATGGCTAGGGCTGCCCTTAGCTCAGCTGGGCTGTTAAGAGCAAACAGCTGGGCGAAGGACCCCAGCCCTTGTTGCTGTGAGAGGAAGATGCCAGCTCTGTGTTAACTCAAGAAGCCTCCCTCATTTCTCTTGAACCTCCACCAATGGGAAACAGCGTGGGGTTCAGGACTAACAACCCTGCAGACAGCCACAAATCCTCTGTGCAACCTTCCAGAGCCTGAAGGCTGTCAGAGGCCCTCTCACCCTGCTCAAGGAGTGCCAAAGGCACCCACCTACAAGAGCTTCATGGTTTGGAGTTGGCTCCAAACTGACCCAGTCTGACCCACAGGATTTTGTTTGGCACGTGGACATGGATGGCAGGACATGGGCACAGGAGCAAGTGCATCCCCTCCCTGTGCTGGGCTGGGACCCAGCGCAGCCCCTTCCTGGCACACTGCAGTGCACCCACTTGGCTCCTAAGGAAGATGTTGCCTCCATGGAGGCTGTCAACAGGAGGGGAAGCAAAGCTCCTGCAGGGCTGCGGTGAGGAACTGCTGTTAAACCTAACCCTCCAACACAGCCTCCTCCTGACCCCCCACCCGTGTCTTTGGCGGTCCTCCATGGACAGGTTCAAGTCTTCAGCATCACACCAACATCTCAGCAGCACGGACTTGCCTCACAGTTTGGTAATTGCACGTAACAGGGCCACTTAGCGTGCCCCACAAGGGAAAAAAAAAAAAAAAAAAAAAAAGAAGGAACAAGACAGTCAAGTAAACTAAATGGAGTCATCCCTCGCCGTCTGTCCCAGCACAACGGGTCACACACAAGTCCAGGGAGAGAGGATGCTGCCCGGCCCTGCCGCAGCGCAGCTCCCACCGCCTACGAGACCATGTACTGGGTGATGGCCTGCAGTGCATACAGCAGCTCTGCCTGCATCCTGGCCTCCAGAATGAGCAGGTTCACGTGGACCTGGGGGAGAAGCAGGAGAGGCTCATGCAGCAAGCACCACCCAGATTAAGGAGTCATTAAGGACAAAACACTACCAGGTTTTCCAGCACGGGCAGATGCCCTTTCCCCCTCCTGTCCTGCAGCCTGTGGCTGTTGCCAGAGCTGTGACCTGTGCAGCTCCCAGCACACTGGGCATCAGCACATCACTGCTATGGGTTACAGCCCGACCAAGGGCTTGCCCACCAAGGGATGACTACCTCTCAGTTCCCCATGCTGCTGGTAGCCCTGTGCCACACCACATTACACCCAACTCCTTACAGACAGCCTGTTTCCATTTTTCCCTTGCTCTCATTTGGTGGCTTAAAGGTTTCTTCTCCTCGAGCATCCCAACCCTCAGCTCTTGCTCAACCCCTCTCAGAGGCACAGTGGCTGCCCTACCTTTTCGCTGTGCTTGAACTGCTTCCAGAACCTGTCAAACATTTCTGGGTTTGTCTTCTCTGGGTAGCAGGTTACCGTTTTAATGTAAACTTTCAGCATTCGCTCCAGTAGATGATTCACTTCTGCATAGTCGTAGTCATCGTACCTGCAGGGAGCACGGGGCAGTCACAGCCAGCACCTGGCCCCAACCACACACCTGTCCTGTGGTCCACCTGGGACACGTCACAGCCATTGGGCAGGGACATAACGCTGGCCACTGAGCACTGAAGCCCCATCTGTGCAGCGCCTTGCAGCAGCCATGCATAGTCATAGAGCAGTTGGGTTGGAAGGGACCTTAAAGTCCACCTAGTCCCACCCGTGCCAGGGGCTGGGTGCCTCCCACCAATTCAGGCTGCCCAGGGCCTCATTCTGCCCAGCTGTAGGCACCACCAGGGATGGTGCACCACAGCTCCTTGGGCAGCCTGTGCATCTGCATCACTATGTCTTTTCCAAGCCCGTGTACAAGAACACCTCCACACATCTGGGCACACAGCAGGAGCAGCCCACTCTCTTCCCACCTGGATTGACTTGGCTTTTTTCCCTGGACCACAAGGTTGCTGTCGTTACCTGATGCCAAACATGCAGTGGATGTAGTTCCAGATGCCCCGCTTGAAGACCGAAGGTTCGCAGCCCTGCCGCTTGGCCATGGCACTGCTCTGCAGACCATCCACCATGCGGAACTTCTCATCCAGGAGATGCCCGATGTCAGAGTAGAGCCGGTTCACCAGTGAAAAGCCATGGTCTTCCCAGGAGTAATCCTGTTGAGCACAGCAAGAGGCTTTTGCCGCTGCAGAAAAGAGTTCGAGGCATGTTCCTGGGAAGAAGGGCTGCCAAAGACCTCGGGATGTGGCAGAATTCACAGGGTTTGCTCTACCACTAGTCACGGTATCCCTCACCAAGCAGCTTGGGAATGATTCTGACCTCAATGCCAACCCACACCCAGCCCAGAGGGGGCATGTGGTGGTCCTCGAGGGCACAGGTTAAGCAGTCACCATCCCCCCCAGCCCTCTGATGTGTCCCGTGGTGGGCAGAGCCCTTCTTCATTTTGGAGCCATGTAGGCACCCCATGAGCACCCACCCGCTCCCTGGACAGGAGGAGAGTGCAGGAGCCTCACCTGGACTCTGAATACCTGCGTCTGCTCCTCGTCGCGCCGCGCAAAGTCCTGGTACCCAAAGTCAGGGTCCTGCAGATAGCACGCGAGGTTGGCGGCACCGGTGACCTCCCCGTCAGTATCTGAGTGGGGAGAGCCCACAGACAGTTGGTGCTGCCCCATTGCCAGGCACTGCTGGCAGCGATGCTCCCATCCCAATGCTCCCATCCCGCACCCCCTCACCTTCCTCACGGTCCGGCAGCAGCGGCCTCGTCTCCTCCCTGCCCTCAGTCTCCACGTGGATCCTCTGAACGCGTTCCCGCAGCGAGTCCAGCTCCATGCAGGAGTCCAGGGACTGCACAGGAGCACGGCACACCGTGAGGATGGGACACTTCCCGTGCCATCCCCATCCTCGCTGTCCCACCCTAGGGGCTCACCCTTTTGCGGTTGATGCGCAGCAACTCCTGCCCGCAGCCATTCCCCATGGCGGCCTCACAGAAGCACTGGTTCCCAGGTGGAGAGGGCTTCAGCGAGCCCCTGCCCCCCGGCCCCTCCTCCTGCTCACAACCGCAGCCGAAAACGAAGCTGGCAAGCGCGTGGCAGTGCGCCAGCAGGACGACGGCGTGCACCAGCTCTGCCAGCGACCAGCTCCACTCACTGATCTTCAGCAGCTTCTGCAGGACAGACGGGACAGCGATGCACGGAGGGCAGGCAGAGTGTGGGCACCCCATCCGCACCCAACCCGCGCATCCCTGCTACCTCGATGTGCTCCTTGGTGATGAGCCAGGGCCTGTGCGCCAGGATCTTGTTGATCTCATTGAGGTTGCGCAGTTTGGGGGGGATGAAATCGAGACCGCGCAGCCACTGGGGATCCCCCCCCGCCCGCAGGAACTGCAGCACGTGGAGGTTCACCAGGTACCGGCAGTGGTGTCGCGCGGCCGCCTGCAAGAACCAAACGTCAGCCCTATGGGGAGCAGTCGCCTCGCCCCCACCAGTTGGCTTCTGCAGAGCAATCCCAAAGCCGCCGGGATGGGCTCACCATGATGGCGATGTAGTGGCGGCAGTCGAAGGGCAGCGGGCCGTCCATGTGCAGCAGGTAGTGCTGCATCTTCAGGAAGCTGTCGAGGTAGCGCGGGTGGTAGCCCATCTGCTGGGTCACTGCCTCCAGCCGGCCACGGCTCGCCAGAGCCTTCACAAAGAGGAACTGAGGGCGCTCGGGCTCGCCGCCGGACATCTTCACCACCTGTGGGAGCACAGGAGAGGATCAGGGGGTCCCTGTGCAGCCAGAGAGGGGATGCCCTCGGAGCCCAGCCCGGGTGCCCATCACTGCCGCATCAGGCCTGGTTAGCTGCAGTCCATCACACCCGTGGAGGAGCAGCGCGGGATGCGGCCGTGGCTATTTTCTACCATTGCTGGTGACAAATGCAGTCGCTCAGGTGTCAGTGCTTTGCTCAGGTGCCACTTGGAGCTTTGGTTTTGGTTTGAGGGCAAAGGAGGGCAAAAAAAAGGAAAAACAAAAGGGGATGAGGAACGCCAGCTTCTGTGTCCCAAGGGCAAAGCTGGAAGCGAGCTGCCCTGGCTGTGCATGGAGCTCCCCAGCTTGGTGCCAGGGCCACCAGGCGTGATGGCTTCTTCTCTCCGGGTGCAGAAGGACCAAGAGCAGCCCCACACCCACGCGTGGGCCATGGGGACAGAGCTGCCGTCCAGCCCCACCACCCTGACAGTCTCTCCCACCCACATCCCCCCAGCACTGGGGCTGTCCCAGCATCCCCAGGGCCTCACTGCTCACATCCAAGTGCCGCCACACCTCACCGTCCCCAGCCCTTCCCGACCCCCCTCCGGGCATCCCAGAGCCCAGTTCCAGCCGCTGCCCCTCGACGGCAGCCGTCGGGGCCGGGACCCGCCTCCTCCCCCACTCCTGATGCACAGGACCCCGCCGCGGGGCTCCCCCCGACCCCTCCCCGAGACGGCTCCCGGCTCCCTGCGGCCCCGCCGGTGACGCCGGCCCTCCCGCAGCCCCCGTCCCGCTGTCTCGGGCTCGAGGGCAATGCCGGTGCCCGGTGCGGGCTGCCGGTAACCGGGGCCCCATTGTGCGAGCAGCGGCGGCGGCAGCGCCCCCGGTGCGCAGCGCGGGCAGTGCAGGCGGAGAGAGAAAAACAACTTTGATTGGCAGTGATGGAGGCACGGCGCCTCCCGCATCCCGCACAAAGGGGACGGCGCCGCCGCACCGATACCGGCACCGGCACCGGGCCCCGCTGCGGGACAGAGCCGGCCCCGAGCCCCGGCGGCGGGCGGCGAGCATGGCCCGGCCCGGGGAGGGGCGGCGGCCGAGCTACGGGCAGGGCCGGTGCTGCGGGCAGGACCGGGGCACAGTCGAGCGCGGGGTCCGGTGGGGGCTCCGGTAGCGGCGGGGCGGATCCTACCTGCCCCGGCAGCCGCTGGCACCGGCTTCCTCGGGGGTGCTCCACGCTCTGGGGACACACGATCATGGTGAGCCCGCGCCGAGCGCCGCCGTGCCGATGCTCTCTGCCCGCTGCCGGCACTGCCCCGCCCGCTCCGCTCCGCTCCGACCCGTCCCGTCCAGTCCAGCCCCGCCCGCCCCGTCCAGTCCCGGCCGCCGGCACTGCCGAGCCGGGCACCGCTGCAGCCCGGACCGGGAGGAGGCGTGGCCTCTGCTCCGCCTCCTCCAATCGCCTTCCCCGGGGGGCGGGCCATGATGGAGCCACGCCCCCAAGCTCCCTCTCGGGGCGGAGCCAGAGGGGGCGGAAGCGCGGTAGCGCCATGTGGGCAGGGGTGGAAAGTTACCCGTCCGTCCTGCGCCGAGGCCACGCCCACAGGGCAGCGGTTCGGCTTGGGATGCCCCACCGCTGGGGGGCGCCGCGGGGCGGGGGTGGGTCGGACCCGAAGCCACGTGGCACGACCTCGGCTTGAGTGCGGAGCGCGGCTTTATTGGGCCTCAGCGCGGCCGCGGTTGCTGCCGCCCCCCCGAGGCCGTTGTGGTCTTGCGGGGGGAACCGTGCTGCTCCTCCCGGGGTCGGGATGCGCCTCTCCCTGCTGCCTTGCCCTGCGTAAGGGACGGTGTGGGGTGAGGGGCATGAGGATGGGGACGGTGGGACGCTGGGGTGTGAGCAGTAGAGGGAAGGAGGCACGGGGATGTGGCTCTGGGAATGGGGACAATGGGACAGGAGGGTGTGGACATGGAGGTGGCAGAGAATGGGGTGTGAGTGTGGAAGGGGATGGGGGCGGTGGGGCACAAGGATGTGGGCATGGGATGGCAAGGGAATGGGGACAAGGGGCATGAGGACTTGGCCATGGGAATGGGGGCAGCAGGTCACAAGGATATGGGCACAGGATGGCAGGGAATGGGGACTGTGGGAATGGGGCTGTCAGAGGATGAGGGCCACAGGCAGGAGAGGGGGAAAGTGGGACATAAGGATGTGGCCACAAAGTTGGCCAGGGATGGTGCTCCAAACACACGGAGTGGGATGGGGACGGTGGCATGGAGACAAGCACTGGTGGAGAACCAAGGTGGGGCTTGGGGTTGATGTGGCATGGGGACAGCAGGTGTGAGGTGGGAGGGGCAGCTCCCTCAGTCCATGGTGCTGGAAGTGGGAAGGGCCCCCAGTCACATTGGACCCATGGCTGGTGGTGTCCCTGTACCCAGGCGTGGTCCCCAGTGCCATGCGATCCCACCGACCACCCCGTACCGCTCCCTGAGTGCGGGCAGCAGTGGACAGCATCTCAGTGCTTGGTCCCTTCTTGCCCTCCAGTGTCTTCGGGGAGCGAAGCGGCTTCCGATGCGGGTGCTGCCCATGTAGACGCAACGCCTCTGCACCAGAAATGGGACTGGGGGTTTCTGCAGCAGCCCCAGACTGGGAACACCACCCCATGCATTCCCATCCCTGCACCCACCGGTCAACGCCACGCTGGGGTTCTTCAGGATGGGCACAAAGGACTGTGCTGTCTGTTCCTGCGCAGTGCCTGCAGGGATGCACCATTATGCCTCCTGTCCCTACTGTGGTGCCCATGGGGACCATGAGACCCTGCACATACCAGGAGCACCAAACTCAACCCTACAGACATAGTAGGTTCTGCGTGCCGGGAGGAAGTCACTGGCCCTGTCCTCCATGGTCTTCACCTGGAAGAGCATCTTGGGGCTGCCCTGCTTGTCACACAGGTCGATGGCCTCTGCAAAAGCCACGGTGTGTGGGCACAACATCCCACCTCAGTGGGCCCACCCGCTGCCCCCTGTGCTCACCGTTGGGGGGAACCCCCACTTTGCTGCGCAGGTGAGACAGCAGCAGCAGCACGGGGCAGTCGGTGTTGGCCAGGAAGCTCTGGTTGTCTGCAGGGAAACAATGGTGGCCAAGGGGACCCTGAGCACCAGTGGGGTGGCATGGACTGAGCCTGTGGCTGTGGGGGACTTACCATTGTGGGTGATGCAGATGAACATGCTGCCGCTGTGGGGATGGGAATGTGGGGCCTTGTGTTGCCCCACAGCGTTTGTGAAGCAGGAGGGGGGTTCTGGGGATTGGCGTTCTGGAGTTTCCCCATTCTTCCCAAAATCATAGAATCACAGAATCATTCAGGTTGGAAAAGACCTCTAGGAATCCTTCAGCTCACTCCCAACATGCCCACCAACCATGTCCTTCAGTACCACCTCTTGATAACTCTGGAACACCCCCAGGGACACAACCATGACTACATCTTTTTGTCCCCCTGTCCCCAACCCGTTCCACTGCCTGACTGCTCTTTCAGAGAACAATGTTTTCCTAACATCCAACCCAAAATGAGACTAGCCAAGACCAAAGCGCAGCAAAGCTTTATTGCAGTTGGAAGCTGCGAGTTGGAAACCCACAGTTCAAACAAGCAAGTGGCCAGGCTTGTGCATGCCCAGGCTTATGCATGCCCAGGTTTGTGCATTCCCAGTGTACAATTGCAGCTGGGATGATACTGTGACTTGTTCCTTCAGGGTGGCTCTCAGTATTTTGCATGTCTCTTGGTGCTCTTTACCTCTGGCTGGTGGCTCTTGCCTGCTTCACCGACGCCTGCTGCCCTTCCCATTCATTGCTACCAGACTGTCAGCACGGCCATGGTGAGGAGAAGGGCTGGAGTTCCCTGGGCACTTGGCATGGTAGGAGCAGGGAGCAGCATGTTTTGGGGGAAGAGTGCCAGCATCATGCTCCCACGTAGCTGTTCTTGTAGGGGCCGTGCTCCTGGGGGCCAGGCACCCCTGGCGGGTGGATGCTGTCTTGGAGGGGCTCGTAGGGCAGCTCGCTCACATGACAGATGCTCTCACTGTAGTTGGGCTTGAAACTCTCCACCACATCTTTAGGGACTCCGACCCATTCCTTGAGGGACAGAGCGGGGTGAGAGGGATCAGGAGCTGCCACCAGTTGGGTGGTGTGGTGAGCCAGGGCAGCCACCTTACCTGGAAGTCACCATTGTGGGTGATGAAGAGATCGTCGAAGTTCTTGTTGGGGTTGGGGATTCGGGGCATGATGATCACCCACACCCTGCATGGGAGCAGAGAGGTGTCAGAGGGGCTGCCTCACACTGCCCTGCACCGCACAGCCATGCACCCACCTTTCCATGCGCACCAGCAGCACCACCAGGACCAGCAGCAGCAGGCAGGAGGCGATGGGGATCAGCACCGTGTGGATCCAGAACCACTGCAGCTGCTCCTCTGCCATACCTGCAAAAAGCCAGGGGGACACTGTGAGGACAGTGTGGGGATGCCGTGGGGACCCTGGGGGCTCAGGACTGCTCCTACCCTTGCTGGTGGTGTTGCTGCCCCAGAAGACAGGCACACTCCACTCACTCCACAGCTGGGTGCTGCCACAATAGTTGTTGATCTTGCTGCGCACGTAGAAGGTGTAGAATTTCTCATAGTCCACGCTGGGGAAGGAGAAGATGTCTCCTTTCACCTCCTGCTTCTGCAGAGAGAGGAGTGGTGGGCAGTGAGTGCCAGCGCCGCGTGGCCAGGGGCAGGCGTGGTGTGGGGGCTGTCACCATCCAGCTGGTGTCCTTGTTGCTCTTGTACTTGACGACGTGCTCCAGGCAGTGCGCCTTGGGGTAGGGCGAGCTCCAGGTGAGCTGCAGCTGGTTGCTGCTCATGTTGCGGATGGTCAGGTTCACAGGCGCCTCTGGTTTCACTGCAAAGCACAGGAGGTGCCCGGTGAGCGCTGTCCTCACAGCCTGGTGGCCCCGCTGTCCTGAGGACCATGGCTGTCCCCACGCCACCACGTACCGAGGTTCTGCAGCTCCATGCGATTGCTGGGGATCTCCAGGATGCGGCCATCCTGGCTGGCATTGACGCGGACGTGGAAGGGCTGGAACTGGATGATCTCACTCTGCTCGAAGCGGCAGCCAGTGCGCACACCGCGCTCCCACAGGTACTGCTTGCACTCTGCCACGGGCGACCTGTTCTCATACCTGCACACGGCAGTCACAGGGCTGCTTGGACCTTGCACACTCCTCCCAGAGCCATCCCGATGCTTCCCATCCCCATGAGGCTGCAGGTGGAACCTCTAGACCCAGGCACTCACCAGTAATAGAGGGAGTAGTTGGCTGTCAGTGTCTGCCCGCTGCCCCATGTGCAGGTCATGTACTCTTCATTGAACAGGATGCACTCCACTCCTGGAATCATTCAGGTTGGAAAAGACTTCTCAGATCCCCAAGTTTCAACCCCACCCCACCCCACCATGCCCATCGCCACATCTCTCAGTGCCACATCTCCACAGTTCTGGAGCACCTCGGTGACCCCTGGACAGCCCAGCTCAACTCCCAGAGCCCACCCTGAGGAGCCCACAGCTCAGGGCTGTGGTTATGGCAGGATGCTGCGCTCAGCTGCTTTGCCAAAGGAAATGAGTGTTTACCATTTTCTAACGCAAAGCAAATGGTGGAGCTGAGCAAATGAGCGCCGCTTTGGGATGGAAACTGGGTACGTGATCAACAGACAAGAAGTGAGTTTCCAGCAGATAACAGCGGGCACAGAGGAGCCATCCACCCCCGTCCCCTGTATACGTGCACATTGCTGACACCGCAGCAATGCAAATGGAGGCCACGCAGATCTGCTGACCGCAGCTCAGCCTGGATGACGCACGGGGCTGATCCAAACCTTCACCCGGGCCTCCTGCAGCCCCCCGGCATCCAAAGGGCTTTCATCACAGCCGGATGCTCAGCCACGAGGCTGCCCCAACGGCCAGTAGCACAGCTGCAGGGCTGAGAGCCCCAAGCCTGAACTCACAGGGCCCATCCATACCCACATGGAGGGTGGGCACTCTCAGAGCCAGCAACAGCAGCAGTGCAGCAGCACTGAGCCAGGAGCACGGCTACGCACCACTGGCGTCACACAGGCCCACACGGCCCCACATCCCATCCTCAGCCACCATCACCGCGCAGCAATTTCCCCCATCCCCACCACCCATAGGGCACCGCAGCCATTCCCCCTTACCTGCGGGGCTGTGGGCAGCGGCCAGGCGGATACCTAGCCCCAAAAGAAGGATGGGCACGAGCGAAGCCCCGGGCACCGCCATGGTGCGATGCTTAGTGTGCAGCCCACCTTGCATGGCTCACAGCTTCCGCACCACCACCACTTCCTGAACCACAGCAACACCCACCCTGACGGGGCCGCACCGCCCTTCCTGCTGAGCTCCACAGCTCCAGGCCCCACGCTTTGCCCCACGAGGGCCCTGTGGTTCTTCCTACCCCTCGCCCCAATGGTGCTGCTTCACAGGAGCAGGTCCCCTGCCCACAGCCCGACCCTGGGGGCTGTCCCGGGGGGCGGAGGTGGGGACGCAGCCATGGAGGGGCTGCTTGGGCTGCTCCGTGGCCATATGGGCAGCGATGGGGCTGAGGAGGTTTAGCCGTTGTGCTGAGGGACGTGGTTTAGTGAGAACTATTGGTGGTAGGTGAGCTGGATGATCATGTAGGTCTTCTGCATCCTTGGTGACGCCATCATTCGATGGCTGGGGGGCAGCTGAGGGCACTGAAGGGAGGGAACGCTGCCGGGAGAGCCGCCGTGCGTTCGGGGCCATTCGGAGCACGGGGAGCCTCGGGGAGAGGAACGGGGGGTGGGGGGGTCGCAACGCGGTCACGTGATCCCTGCGTTTCCGCCAGGGGGCGCCGGCGCATCTCGGCCATCTTCGTCCCTTTCCGCCCTCCGTTCGGCGCAGGCTCGCGTTCTTCCTTTCGGCATTCTTCGCCTTTCCTCGGCTCGGCTTCGGGACTCTTCGGCGGCGCTCGCCTCTTTCCGCCTGCCGTCGGGGCGGCGCAGGCGCATCGTCGGGCGGCCCGGCGTTCCTTGTCGCGGCCCGGCCGGCCCTGCCCGCCCGGTATGGCGGCCTTCGGCGTCCTCAGCTACGAGCACCGCCCGCTCAAACGGCCGCGCCTCGGCCCGCCCGACGTGTACCCGCAGGACCCCAAGCAGAAGGAGGTGCGGGGGGGGGGAGGCCGCGGGGCGGGGCAGCCCCTCGGGGCCGGGCCGGGGGTCGGGGCCGGGCGCTGTCAGCCCTGCGGCCGGGCGCTGAGCGCCCTTCGTTCCTTCCCCCGCAGGATGAGCTGACGGCCCTGAACGTGAAGCAGGGCTTCAACAACCAGCCCGCCGTCTCCGGGGACGAGCACGGCAGCGCCAAGAACGTCAATTTCAACCCGGCCAAGGTGAGAGCGAGCCCCCGGGGCTGTGCTGGGACGGGGCTCCGACCGGCCCGCGTTGTGTCGGCGTCTGGGAGCGCTGCCCTGCAACGCGGCGCTGCGGGAGCGGCGGCAAGAAACTTCTTCGGCCTGGGTTTGGTGGCGTCATTGCCGTGGGAGAGGAGATGCGAGGGTTCCTGAGGCATCTGGGGATGGAAATGTGGGGTTGCATAACGGCCTTCTGCTCCGTGCTCCCGAAATCCAGGCGTTAACTGCCCCGCCCGCCTTACAGGGGGTGCCGGGGAGCTGATCTGCTGAGCTGCTGCCGTGACCTCTTGGTTTGGGGCAGCAGCTGTGACGGTGGGAAGTGTCACACGCCTGTCTTGGTCCTGACAGCCTTGGCATCCGGCATTTCTTACAGTAACTGACAGGGACAAAAAAGGCAAAAAACCAAAAAAGACAGGGAGCTGTTGGAGAGGGTCCAGAGGAGGGCCACAAAGATGATCAGGGGACTGGAGCACCCCCCCCTGTGAGGACAGGCTGAGGGAGCTGGGCTTGTTCAGCCTGGAGAAAAGAAGGCTGCGGGGTGAGCTCATTGCAGCCTTTCAGTACCTAAAGGGAGCCTGCAAACAGGAGGGGAATCAACTCTTTGAAAGGGTAGATAACTGCAGGATGAGGGGAAATGGTTTAAGTTGAGGGAGGGGAGATTTATGTTAGACGTCAGGAGGAAATTCTTTACAGAGAGAGTGGTGAGGTGCTGGAACAGCTGCCCAGAGAGGTTGTAGATGCCCCGTCCATCCCTGGAGGTATTCAAGGCCAGATTGGATGGGGCCCTAGGCAACCTGGTCTGGTATTAAATGAGAAGATTGGTGGCCCTGCATGTGGCAAGGGGGTTGGAGATTTGTGATCCTTGAGGTCCCTTCCAACCCTGGCCATTTTGTGATTCTGTGAACTGTCTGCTAACAAGTGGGGAAAAAAGGCTTTGTAGCTCTCACCTGCCTTTCTCTGACCTGGGTGCTGTTTCTCTGTCAGCTAGCAAGGACAGATATTAGGGAAAGTTCCTTCTG